TATTAAGGGAACGAGGACATAAATCTTATTTCCACTGTTATCAACACCTTTCCCCCCAAAAAGTTGAGGAATTTTGAATATTGAGATGCTGATTCACTTTCCTAACACATTTGGAAAGAAACTGCATCTGAGTTCTTATTGTCAGATAATTCACAGCCTGATTTAAAACCACAACTTTCAAGTTTTTACAAAACAGGACAACCATCTGGAGCTGTATGCACCAACCCAAACTCATCTGAGGGAAAAAGGACTGATTCTTTTTTTGAAAATGTGTTTTATGTCCATTACATCCCATCAGTTATCTCACCTAAATGTTTTTCTGTATTCCAATAGACAATCAAATAGGCATGAGCTAAAACTTAATATTTTTACTTTATAATTTATCAAATTAATATGATGAAGAAATGAACATCAAACCTCCACCTCTGTCTGATTCAGTGATTTGTTTGACAAATATATAAATATACACTTCCCTTTTTTTTTCCATAGAAATAGTTAAAACTGTCTAACTCACCGATATCTGGGCTGCAGTGGTGATGAGCAGTGAGCTGCTCTCAGGCGACTGTTATTCCCTGCTGCATCATCCTACTGATCAGCATCTCTCCCCTTTTTCTCCCTCCATTTACCATGGTCCACTCCCACGCTCCATCCCTTCACCATCTAGTTTAAATATTTGTGTCATTAGAAAACATAAAATATCCTGATCACCAGGTTATCTGTTTACCAAGCCAGTTTTCTTATTGATTTACACATTTATTAGCCTTTTATTAAAGCCAGATTGCCTCATTTACTCTTGTAGGCAGTTATATTTATAGCTTCTGTAGATGGTAACCTTTAGAGGTGATTAAACATGATTATTAACTTGATTTCTGTCCAGCTGATGTATTGATAGCGTCAAGAAGCTGCTGCAGTCATACATTGTTGTAAATCCGTCCCTTTAAGCATCTCAGGGCATAGAAACTCTCTGGAGATATGCGGAAGTGTTTTTATTTTTATTCTACTTTTATTGCCATTTTATCAGCAGCTTCAGTCAATATAAAACATTGTTTGACCATTTACTTAAAAAGACTTGGTAATACAGTTTTTTCATGAATGCAGATTTTTTGGGGGGGTTACAACAAAGATTTTTTTTGGAAAAGGAAAATATTTGCTGTTCAACTACATTATGGCAAAAAACGTTTTCCTAATCTACCTTAAATGTTTTAGGGATCATCAAACCAATTTAGTTTAAAGTAAAAATGTAAAATAAAAATTAAATCCTTGATTAGATTTAAAAAATATTTCAAAAGCAACACAAGCAGAAAATAGAATCATAGTTCTTGAGAAAATGCACAAACCCAAACCTGTTTGTTTGGTAAGTGGTATTTCTGCTGAGATCTTAAGCTATATTTATTTTTAAAGCATCAATAAATGAAACCAAAGGGCTGTGTGTGAAAACCTTCACCATTCACTAAGCAATGTGCAGCCACAAGGTTGATCTGCATCACATCCCTCACTTAGAGCGTTGTTTAGATGCATTTAGTACTTCCAATTCAAGCAAAGTCGTTTCATATCATTCTGAGCATTTATGATAATTATGGTTTACTGATAAATGTGTATTTCAGCTCAGATGGACATGCAATGCATCTGCTCTGTGCACACGGCAGCCTCCAGCCGCAGCCACTGACCTGAGCTAATATGACTGCATCACACCTGCCACCATAGCATTGTTGTGTTCTGTGGCTTTCAATAATGTCTTGTTGATGGGTCAACTTTAACCCTTCAGTCTTTGATGTTTCCGTTGATCGCAAGCTGAGATGGGTGGAATACCCCAAAATTGTACTCGAGTAAGAGTAGCACTACTTGCAGCACTACTTTAAGATTTTTTTACTCAAGTAAAAGTAAAAAGTAATCATCCAAGAAATTACTCAAGTAAAAGTTTTTTTTTTTTTTTTTACTATTCTGTTGAAAGGCTTCTTGAATACTGAGTAATAGTTGGATACCAACATCTGATTTATTGTTTAGAAATTATGCAGGCAGACAGACTTTATATGCATGAGCTGGTATTTTAAAGACTCATAAAGAACACATAAATGTCATGAATCTAAAAGAACAAATTTGTGCAAATAAAACTTACACTATACTTAGATAACTGATCCTTACAGTGAGAACTGTATATATTTTAGGACAGGGTAAAGAACTTTGTCTGTTAATATCTTCTGTTTTCTGTATACAGTGAATTTGGGCACCCCTATTAATCTTAATTATTTTTATTTCTAAATATTTGGGGGTTGAATTGAATTTTAGTATTGAATTGAGGTTTATTAGACTAACAGAAAATGTGCAATATGCATTAACACTAAATTTGGCAGGCAAAAATATGGGCACCTCAGCAAAATGAGACATTAATTTTTGGTAGATCCCCCTTTTGCAAAAACAACAGCCTCTAGTCTCTACCTGTAGCTTTTAATAAGTTCCTGGATCCTGGATGAAGCGATTTCTTACCATTCTTCTTTGCAAAACAATTCCAGTTCAGTTAAGTCTGATGGTCGCCGAGCATCAACAGCCTGCTACAAATCATCCCATAGATGTTCAATGATATTCAGGTCTGGGGATTGGGATGGCCATTCCAGAACATTGTAATTTTTCCTCTGAATGGATGCCTGAGTAGATTTGGAGCGGTGTTTTGGATCATTGTCTTGCTGAAATATCCATCCCCGGTGAAACTTCAGCTTCGTAACTGATTTTTGAACATTATTCTCACAAATCTGCTGATATTGAGTGGAATCCATTCGACCCTCAACTTTAACAAGATTCCAGGTGCAAGCATTGGCAACGCAGCCCCATAGCATGATGTAACCTTCACCAAATTTTACAGTGGGTAGCAAGTGTTTTTCTTAGAACGCTGTGTTGTTGTTTTTTGCCGCCATGCATAACTACTTTTTTTTATGACCAAACAACTCAATCTTTGTTTCATCAGTCCTCAGGACCTTATTCCAAAATGAAGCTGGCTTGTCCAAATGTGCTTTTGCATTCCTCAAGCGATTCTGTTTGGGGCGTGCTTGCAGAACAAGCTTATGTGGCATCACTCTCCCATACAGCTTCTCCTGGTGCAAAATGCGCTGAATTATTGAACGATGCACAGTGACAACATCTGCAGCACGATGATGCTGCAGGTCTTTGGAGGTGGTCTGTGGGTTGTCCTTGAATGTTCTCACCATTCTTCTTCTCTGCCTCTAGTAGCTACCGCTACACCTTATTTCAAGTAACCTATAGCGTCATCTTCCTGCCTATTTTTCTTGGCCTGTCACTTCTAGGCTTAACAAAATCTGTCCCTGTGGTCTTCTATTTCCTTACTATGTTCCTCACAGTGGAAACTGACAGTCTAAATCTCTGAGACAACTTTTTGTATCCTTCCCCTGAACGACTATGTTGAACAATCTTTGTTTTCAGATCATGTGAGAGTTGTTTTGTAGTGCCCATGATGAATCTTCAGAGGAGATTCAAACAGGAGAACAACTTGCAACAGGCCACCTTAAATACATTTTCTCATGATTGGATACACCTAGATATGAAGTTAAAATCTTTTCCAATTTTGTGTTTCAGTAAGTCATTGAAAAGTAGTTAAGGGTATTCAAATCAATAAAATGATTAGGTGCAAAACTTTACAGGTTTTGCACATGTCAAGTTTTGTTTTAATGCATATTGCACAGTTTCTGTTAGTCCATTATAATATTGTTATAATATCTGTTAGTCCATATAATATTGTTGTGTCAATAAGTTATTAGATACATTAAAGGGAAATAGCTGTTGCAAACACCCAAAATAAATAAAAAAATAATAAAGAATAATAATGGTGCCCAAACTTTTTCATATGACTGTATTTACCTGATTTTGGAATAGTTGAAATGACTTACAAAGGACAGAGTAGTCAGAGATTTCACTCAAGTAGAAGTAGCGATACTTTACAAGAATATTACTCAGTAAAAGTAAGAAGTAGGTCACAGTAAACCTACCGTACTAAAAGTACATTTTTACTCAAGTTACTCAATTAAATGTAACTAGTTAGTACCAACCTCTGACCGCGAGGCATCAAGAACAATTGTAGATCTGAAAGAAGCTAAACTTGTTAACATCTAATGGTTTCGATGTTGAGTAGTTTTGGGACTCCAGCAAACCAAAGTGAGAGCCATGACATTAAATGAAGGAAAGAAATACGGTTAACCTTACCATGAACAGAGGTGTTGAAAAAACTGCAATTCTTAGTTAAGTAAAAGTACAGATACTTGTGTAAAAATTGACTCTAGTAACGGTGTAAGTTCTGACTTAACTCCTTTACTCAAGCATAATAAAAAAGCCAATATTTGTTTCCTAAATGATAAAATTTATACATTCTTAAAAAGAAAAAAGAGTTTCTCTGTGCAGAAAATAGGTTATTTCCTCTTTTACTCACTCTTGGTCGGGAGACCATGAAAATATAAAAACCCATTTATCAATCAAACAGGAGAAATGCTGGTGAAGATTCCCAGTCATCCAGGTCATAGTCATTCCAAAAATGTTAAAAAAAAACAATTCGCTGTACTTTGTTTTCAAGTTTGAAGACATTTCGCTTCCCATCCAGGAAGCTTTTTCAAATCAAAATGTCTGAATTACCATTGAGTTTGAGGCTTTATAGAGTGGACCAAAAAAAAGCCTTGTTTTGGCTTAGAAAACATCCAAACTGAACCAGATGAACGGGTCTGCCCCTTAGGAATGGGCAGTCGTTTGGTTTCTTTGTTAGCCTGCAATACCCCATACCTGTCTATGTGTTTGAAAGGGGAGTCATTAGAGGGAATTGTTGGCCTTGCTGAACAGGCGAGGTGTTCTCTTCCCCTGTAAGGGGGTGGGGATGCGATAATAGCGGGGAGTAATCAACTCCATCGCTGCATTGTGGGCTTTTGAAAGCTGAAATAAGAGGGAGTGGACTCAGATTTCAAAGATCCTGGCTCCTCCAGGACCTTTGAAAACTTGCTAAAATGAATGGAATCATGAACTCTTTGCTTTAGAAAAAACCCTCTTGGACATATTCGTCAAACTCAATGCCTACAAGCCGAATCCAACCCACCACAGCAATTTATCAGGCCCCAACAGCTTAAAAAGGTGCATCATGTGGCATGCATGCTTTTAGAGGGTAAACAAACAGCTAAGGAAATGTAGGTAAAACAATATTACCAGAGGAGTTTGATATTTTGTTTTTATTTTTACAGCTGCGTCTGTCCTATTTTAAAGACATGATAATGCTGAAGTTGCCCAATATAAACATTAATTGGACACCCCTGCTTTAGGAGGTCGTCCAAACTGCTGTTCAGAATCTAAACTAAAGCTAATTTGATTATTACGACATCAAGTTTATCTGTCTGGATATCTGCAGCAAGGGAGATCATATGAATCCTGTTTTATTTTCTTTATCGTTTAGCTTCGGTTGTAGCTCCACTGTTCTCAACAAATATTTTTAATTAACTTAGAATCACAAGAAGCCAGAGAAGGCCTCACAGAACAGAAATATGAGGGAGGTTCAATAAGTAAGGCCCCTGATCTAATTCTAGTTGTTCGATTTAGCTGAAATGTTACATGTGCAATTATTTATATCTCTATAGAGTAAGTAGCAATTCACAGCTCTGAACTAATAGTGGTTTCTGATTAACAGGTGTTTGAACTGAGTCAAGCCTGAAACGGAGCTTGTTGAGTGACAAGCAATGATCCAGGTTTTTGTATTTGAAATGATGCACACTACAGGAAACTTTTCATGAAATGAAAGTAACTTATGGTGATGATGGCCTTAAAATGTCATATAGAAACCTGATCACTGCTCGGCTCAACGGGCTCCATTTCAGACTCAACTCAGTTTAAACACCTGTTAATCAGAAACCATGATAAGTTCAGAGCTGTAATTTACTATTTAATCTATAGAGAAATAAATAATTGCACATCCAAAGTTTCAGCTAGTTCAAACAAGAGGAAGATGGTCAGGGGCATTATTATTGAACACCTCTCATTTACACAGAGTGTATTTGGGAGATTCTTTAACACAATGCTAGAGGAGTAGTTATTTAATACATGACTTGGAAGTTTCTAAGCTACATTTCCAGAAAAAGAAAAGGGCTGTTCTATATACCGTAATATTAATATATACACACTATACATTAAATGTGATTAGTTATTTTTTCATGTCTAAATACACAGCAGACTCCTGGATGACTTGCAGAGACACAGACCTTTGTCCTCTCCCCTTCTGTATTTGTCATCTTTTATGTTTGTATAGTAAATATGAATAAATCATTTAGTAGTGGTGGCCACAGGGGTGGAGAATGAATGGCTAAAGGTAACCATGGCCACCCTGGACCCCCATCAGGGCTTCGCTCCTGCTTTCAGTTTAGATTGTTGTTTTGAAATTTCTTACTACATAGAAAAAATCGGCCTGATCGAGGGTTAGTCCTCTGATTTTTACACAAAATACTTTGCTGGTCCTTGTCTTTATTTAGAGGCACAGATTTTTCTGTTCTTTCAGGCTTCTGACTTAAAACTGGAGCCTTTCAGCACGTGGCACCAAGATTGCAAGAACCAGCCTAGCTCTACAGCTACAATACGTTGCTGAAGCTTTCTAAAGCCAGTTTAGGGCTGTTGGCAAAGATGCCCCCAGCAGTACCTCACTAACCCACTAGGGGGTTAAAAGCCCATTTTAAAGAAGTCATTTACATTGTCCTTCTTTTAACAGGGTAGGATTTGAACCCAGAACCTTCTTGGATCTAACAGCTAGCAAGTCCACCTCTGAAATCTCAAAAAAACAAAAACATTTATATTGAATGTTTTGGGCTGTTTTAGTCAAAGTCTAGACCCAGATCTGATCCAGAAGCTTTAATAAAAGCCTAATCAGTACTTTCATAATCAGAAACCCTACCGAATTTAAGCAGGCATAGAAAGAGTGTCCATCTTTCTTTGACACAAAAGTCTTCTTTGGTAGTTTAAACAAACAGTTATTAGTTTTAAGAGTTCATTACTCTGAACATTTTTTATTCGTCAGTCTTTTTTTTACTAAATATCTTCTCACAGCAATGAATTTTATCTGTTTTCTGCCTACCCATTAATTCGTGCTGAATACATGTGGCAAAGCTATAGCCCTCCCTGCTGTTATTTGCTTAAGTTTTCTGCTGAAGAAGCATCTTTTTGCTCGCATGTTTTGGTTTCTCCATCCCTGGAGTGAGTCTGTTCTTGTCGGGACAGAGCCTAAGGCAACAACGTTGAACAAAAATGCTGTAATGCTCAGTCTTGTCATGCATAGCTTTTATGAGGAGGAGCACATATTTCACAAGCTTCCACAGTGTTCTGTTTGCAAAGAGCTATGGATACACACTCAGGCTACAGCTTAATGGGTTAAATTTGACTCTCAAATCAAGAACATTTTCATGCAACGTTTGTTGAATTTGGTTTCCGTGTATGCCTTAGCTGTTTAGTAAATGCAATAATAGGGATAGGGGTTTATTACATTCTGAGAGAAGAATAGACCTTTTAAATGTTTGCCACATTTAAACCTTTTTCATATTTTCTCCCTCTTTTCATTGCCTCAATGTTTCCACACACCATTTCCTTTTTAAAGCCCAGATTTGAATGAAACACTACCTTAAATTCATCGTAAGGTTTTTCTGATCAGAATTTTAACACTGGAGTGAGAAGGGGTTTGTAAATGTGCTGAATTGTGAGTTGAAAATATCTCTTTGAACCCTGAGTAGTTGATTTAAGTTCTTATCAACTGTTCGATATCTGCCTGTAAAAAGAAGGTTGATTAAAACTCAGACCTTTTTAAAAAAAGAAAATACTTTTATTTTCTCAGCTTGTAAGTGAAAGGTATTCAAAAAAATGCTAGGTTTTAAAGTGCACATTGGACTTAATGTGACTAAATATGACACACAACAACAAACGGCAGAATACAGCACCCTTAAAAGAGCAATAATACTGGTTCAGCTCTAATAAATAAGATCACAGAAGCAATATCCTCAATAATTGTTAGTTAAACTGGAGCTTATGGGTTCGTTTCCCAATCCAAGCTTGGATAAGGTGTGACATAGATACACACAGTTGCAACACACCTTTCTGTTTTTATAGCTCCCATTGGGATTTAAGTCCAAAGTCTGTTTTGTCCTGATGAAGGGAATGTTTCTGTTTGGATTTCTGTTTGCTTCACTTCAAGTCTCAGGAAAATATGTTATGTTGTGTTGCTACCAACAACAGTAGCGCTGTTGTCACACGGTGGACTCATTGTGTTTTGATCCGGGTCTGATGCTGCTCAGGGTGAGGCTCTTGGTTTGTAGACTGGGACTGCTCTGTGAGCTGTCTGTGTACAGTTTGTCAAACAGTCTGGTCCCGTTGTACCAAGCTGTCGACTTCCGTCTGATGGAGCTTTGAATTGTCTCCGAGGTGAAGTAGTAAACGACCGGATCAAAGCAGCAGTTGGTCACTGCCATACAGAGAGCTATGGGGTAGATGGTTCTCACCACCCGCTCTGCTGAGCACCCTGCGATGACCTTTGTGCGCACCAGGGTGTAAAAGATGAGATTAACGTTGTAGGGGATGAAGCAAAGGCAGAAGATAAGCAGATGAACAATGATCATCCTCAGGACCTTCTGCTTGTTGAGGCTCCCCCCTCGGCTGATGGTTGCAGGGTTCCTCAATGTCCTTAACACCATCATTGAGCAGAACACGTTGATCATCAGTGGAAGTATGAAGCCCACAGTCTCGATAAAAATCACCACCATCGACAGCTCGTTCTTCCACTGCTTTTTGGAGTAATTCTCGAAGCAGTAGGAAACGTTGGTCTCGTTCGGCGAGCTGGTGTCCAGAAGGAACCCCGTAGGTATGCTGCCAGAGAGAACCATTACCCACACCCCAAGGCAGGCCAGTTTGGCCGTCTTTTTTGTGCGTATTCCCTGCGAGCGGAATGGGTGAACGATGGCCAAGAAGCGATCCATGCTGATGCAGGTGAGGAAGAGGATGCTCCCGTACATGTTGGTGTAGAACAGCGCCACAGAGATCTTACAGAGGACGCTGCCAAAAATCCACTCTCTCTTGATGAAGTAGGCAATCCGAAAAGGCAGGCTTAGGACGAAGAGGCTGTCAGAGACAACCAGATTCATCATGTATGTGGTGGTCTCATTCCGGATCTTCAGTGTACACATGAAGATGTATACCGCTATTGCATTAAATATAAGCCCCAATACAAACACCAGGCTGAAGACCGTGCTGTACATGGGGTACTTAAACTCATCATTGTCACAGCTGTTATTCATCTTTAGAGGCTTTTAGGAAGTTAACAATGTTCAAAAATAGTCCTCAACTTTTCCTGTAAGTCAAAAGTTAAAGCCTCCACACCCAGACGCTTTGCAGATTACCTCTCTTGTCTTCCAAAGTCTTTTATTTCTCCCCTTTGTGAAATCTTTCCATTGTTCAGTTCTTTGAAAGTAAAAGAAAGCGTCCTCTCAGTGGAAATGTTTAATCCTGCAGGAAACCCAGTCATGTGTTGCTCCTCAGCTCTACAAACGGTTGAGTGGCTCTTCCCCTTTCGTGTTCTTCTGTCTGTTCTTGCAGTTGTCTTGAGGGCACATGGTGGTTGTTTTACCAACTCCTGGTTTACTGTAAATCAGACAAACCCCAAAGCTGTCTGCTCATATGAAAGTCATACAAGGAACTGGTTGGACGGTTAAAAGGCAAGGCGGGGCCTTCACCTGGAGCCAAAGTCCTCCCTCTTTGTTTTGCAGTGTGAACATTATATTTAAAAAAAAGCACTGACTCATTTGGAAGCCTACTTTCTGCACAATTAGCCATGTCTGTATATTCACAGAGATAAGAGTTTTTATCAGATATGTGACACACCTTGCTGATTTCAACCAAGGAAGCTTACAAATACATGGATAAGCTGTCTGAAGAACCTGATTAAAAAAGTCACTGTACTGGTATCTGTGCGTCATCCAGTACGGTGGAAGCTGTCAAACAGTGTGTGCTTTTGAAATTTCAGTGGCGTCAGCATGCATTTATGGCGTGTCTGTGCCTGCAGTAGATTTTTTTTTTTCAACCACTTGCTAAATCTAGACATCCTCCGAACGTGTGTGGTTGGGTGGGGGTGGGGGGTGTTAGCTTGACTCGCATGCTAATCTTGACATCACTGATTAAAAAAATCGTGTAGTCTTGATAAAATGAGCTACAGCTGAGGTTTGGCAGTTAGACTTGTATTTGCCATTGGTGACACATACAATAAGGAGTGTCTTCTGTCAACATCATGGAAAAATGGGTGTTATCTGATCACATAGCCCTCATCAGGGTTGTTATGGGGGGGAATTTCTTAAAAGGGAAACATGTTTTGTGAAAATCAGTAATAAATAATTTCCTATGACTATGATAGATGTTGATCACAGCAGCATGAATTTAAAATCTTAGGTGCTAGGGGTACATCTTTCTCAGTAACTATGGTAATAAAGAAAATCTTTAAAGTACCAGAGTTTATTAACTAAATGTGGAATCTTTTTTTTTTTTTTTTACATATATTGGTCAGCACTCAGAAACGCATCATGTAAAGAAACATCATGATGTTTTATATTGATTTTGATTACATCTCTTTTTATTTTGAAACTATTAAACTAAGGCTCTAGGTTTGATATTAGGTATTGATATTAGGGGTGAAACATTAACCGGATTAATACGGATTAGTGAAATAATCATCAACTATTTTAGTAATCATTTAATCATTAACTGGACTGTAGAGTAGGGTTGCAACTTACATTTTTTTTTCAAACCGATTGATCTGTCAGTTATTTTTTCCATTAATCGATTAATAATCAGATGGCCAAAGATTCTTTAAAAAAAGACTTTTTACTAAATTAAATCAGATGAAACTAAAACTTTTCCACTTAAGTAGTTCTGGATAGAGCAGATGGATAGAAGAAAAAGTTCTTTTTAATCTTAAATGCAGAATGTTATTATACTGCACTAAGTGGGTGACTCTGTCAGCTCAAAGCAGTTTAAGTTTTACAGTCTCTATACTCCAGTTAACAATTGATCCATTACTAAATTAGTTGATGATTATTTAAATAATCAATTGCAATTAATCTGATTGATTGTTTCAGTCCTGTTATAGAGACTCTAAAACATGCCTTTAGCTGAGAAAGTGACCCACTTAGAGTAGTAATTATACTATAATTGTAAAAAAAAAAAATACATCTAAATATATATTTTTTTGGGGATAAAAAGGTTTTCATCTGTCAGTATGCTCTATCACTCAACGAGTGGAAAAGTTTCAGTTTCACCTGGTTTAATTCTGTTAATTATCATTATAGGATATATGATGTCTGAATATTATTCAAATAAATACCCTAATTTTCGGACTATAAGCTGCGACTTTTTCCCCATTTTTCGACCTCGAGGCTTATATAACAATGCGGCTTATCTATGGTCTTTTGCAGCTAACAGCCACTAGGGTAATACCTAAATCTATAGATTTTACCATCCACCATGTTGACGTCACATTTGCTTCAACACACAAGTAGCCACGCTGGGGATTATGGACGTCCTCCGGAAGCAGACTCCGAGGAAGACGGACATTGCGAGCGCAAGACAGTTTGTGTGACACCCTCATTATGGAAAACAAACGTTGAAATGCATATGATGCAGCTTTTAAGTTAAAGGCAGTCAATTTGGAAATAGAACCGCTGCACGTAACCTTGGAATCAACGAGTCAATGGTGAGACGTTGGAGACGCCAGCAGGAAGAATTGTCTCAATTCAATTATGTTGAAATTTTAAAATATAGGAGCTTTGCCAAAAAGTTGCCTCTTTCCCGACAATCCTCTCGGTGCACGAACCATATGGTAATTAAACATAAATAAACTGCAGCTTATAGTCCGGTGCGGCTTGTATATATACAAATCATGCAATTTAGTTTCTGCGGCTTATATTCAGGTACGGCTTATAGTCTGAAAATTACGGTAATAAACAGATTAATAGATTAGCTAAATTTTATTTATATATATATATATATATATATATATATATATATATATCCATACCTGCCATGAACTGGGAATTGTGAAGCAGCCCTAATGTTTCTGTTCTTAGTGAATATGTTTCTCTATTCCTTTGAACTTGAACTCCGACCAAGATGAAAGCAGCTGAACCTTTAAATCATGGGTACACTGTTGTTTTGTCACGGAAAATGTGAGCCTTTTTTCACTAAAAACCACAGTTGCATCTGCATCATGGTGGGGAGGTTGTTATGCCATGTACTTTCCACATTCCACATTTATTAGCAATGACTAACTTCAACAGCTTCTTTGATAAATAGCAGCCCAGAATAATACCCAAGGTGTTTTTGATAACACGCTTTAGATCATTTAAGGTTTTACTTCTTGGACGATAGTTATTTTGTACAAGCATGAACCAAAAGTTTCCTCATGGCACGATTTCCTTGCAACTAAGATTTATAGTTCGACATCATAAAATACAGACAGCAGTAATGCCGAGTATGTTGATAACATGTCACATTCAAATAAAAATCTTTAGAGCCATGTAATGTTCACTTTCCTCTTTGAAAGCACTGGTGTAAGTTTTATTTATTTATTTGATGCAAGGTTGTTTGACAGACATTGTGCTGTTGCTTGTCTTTGCAGGGCTCACCTCTATATGAGCTGCTGAAGCAGGAGCATGCGAGCTCAGCAGGGGAGCCAGTTGAGACCACAGCAAGCCTGAACCAGCCGCTGCAGCACAACCACACGGCCGCTGACCTGTAAGTTATCGATCAAACAAACTGGTGCTCAGATACAGTTAGACCGAAATCAGATCTTAGTCTGCCAAACATTCAGTGCATCATCATGTATCTCTTCTTAGCTTGTTTTCTGGTAAGAGGGAAGTTTTCTACCCTTTGTCAGTAATTTGACTGATTCATCCTTCCGCTCCCTGTGTTGTGATTTCCAGATACCTCTCCCCAACACGCCCAGGCTTGCGGGTTTTGCCCCCTGAATCCCCGGCCACACCCCCTCAGCAGCCCGCTGCCTCTCAGTCCGCCCCCCAGGCTCCCTGCCAAGCTCCAAGGCAGCCGAAGTCCAACTCGCTCAGTCTTTTCTACAAAAAATGTAAGATGTATACTGTGGTGCTTCTCTACTGTCCTTCCTTAGAAAGTTTTTACATATCACAGATATGAGTGAAGGATCTGTTCCCTCTAAAATAAAAGGTGTTAAAATATTAAATAAATATGTGTATATAAACTTAAATGCAATTTTCATTTTTTAAACACTCCTAAAAGTGTGGTATCCAAATATAACCAGCTTACCCCAGTCAGTACTTTGTAGAACCTCCTGATATTGCTGCTCATTGATGATATGTCTGTCCAAACTACTGCTACGTTCACGCAGCGAAAAAGCTTTTGCTGCTTCTTTTCTGATGCTTGTCCACATTGTCAGATGTCCAGTAAAGTGTGTCCAGATGCGTCTGATGTTTCTGCTGCTCCTGTGTTCAATGGCAGAGAGCAGCTTTGCGATATTTGCTGTGATCAGTGGGTAAAAAGTAGTTTTAATATATTTTAAGTGAGAAAGTCCACCTGAAAACATCCTCTGTGCAGTCAGTTGATCCAGATTACCATCCAGAATATTATGCCTCTGTCTGAGCCGCTCAGACCTCCACATACCAGCGGTGCGCTGTCACTGGGAATCCCCAGCAGCAGCTGCCTCAGGCCCGGTCGCCTCTTGTGGGGTTTCCCCTACTGTTTGTGGCGGCTGGAAGTAGATGTTAGGGTTTTTCAGGTAAGTCTGACAGGTTTCCAAATTTTAAGTTTTTTTTAGGCATTAATAAAGTAATTAAGTTAGTAAAGGGAAGTGATTATAGTGCTCTGCATCAGCAGTGCTGTGTCTGTCTCCCTGCCAGCACCCAGATCATCTTCTCCGATTGGTTGATGTGATGCGTCTAGCAGCAAAAATGTAATTTGCTCATAAGGCGCTGCTGTGATGCATCAAGGTGTGTCGCTCCTGCTTCTCTAGACGTGCTGCAGGACCATTTGTTTCGCCTTGATGCGCGTCTACCATAGACTTTGCACGTAAAGCGACCACTTCTGCTGCCCAAAGCACGTTAGGTCTGAACTTAGCGCAAGATAAAATTACAAACGGACAAACTGAAATTTTTTATCAATCTTCTGGCTAAATAGCTCCACCTCAGTCAAACTGAATGAAAAGAAACAGTGGGGTCATTTTTCAGTTCTTTCCTAAGAGTTACTGATATTGATATTCTAGCTGTGATTCTCTTTCCTGTTGGGCCATTTTTGTGCAGTGCAATGATGACTGCACGTGTTTCTTTAGAGATAACAATGGTTGACAGATGAGAAACAATGATGCCAAGCACCAGCCTCTTTTTGAAGTGTCCAGTGATGTCATTCTTACTTAATCATGACAGATTGATCTCCAGCCCTGTCCTCATCACCACCCACACCTGTGTTAATGGAGCAATCACTGAAACCATGTTAGCTGGTCCTTTTAAGGCAGGGCTGCAATGATGTTGAAATGTGTTTTAGGGCATAAAGTTGATTTTCTAGGCAAATATTGACTTTGCAATTAATTGCTGTTATGCTGATCACTCTTTATAACATTCCATTCTGGAGTATATGCAAATTGCCGTTATAAAAACTGAAGCAGTAGACTTTGTAATTATTAACATTTGAATCATTCTCAAAACTTTTGGCCATGACTGTACTTTTAGAAACTCTAGTAAACCTGCAGATTGAGAGTGAAGCTCTGTTAGGAACATAAGGAACAATCAGATCTCTGATATAAGATCCATCTTATATCCATCTTATATATATATAATATATTATATATATTAGCTTGGCCATTTAAGGCTTTTTATGTGAGAAGGAGGATTTTAAATTCTTATTACTCACACCTAATCAAAAGAGAGTAAGTTTGCCATTTCTCAAATTTTGATGATGTCACGAGAAACAGTCGCTCCAATTCGGCTTTTCTACTTTTTGGACATTGTCTTTAACCCCTCTTATTAGACGCTCCTGTCGGCATGTTAATGTCCGTGGATGGCCTGAAAGCCTCTGTGAGATGGCTGCATTTTCATTGGATCATTTCACCCCAGTATTCTGACCAATATGTAAAGCTTTGTAGTAGCCCTCCACCTTGTAGATTAATTCATCCATCAATTTTCTCCCGCTTAGTCCTTGTCAGGGTCGTGGTGGGGCCTGTTTCTTTCTCCAGTAGTCTATGGCGAGAGGCGGGGTCCACCCTGGACAGGTCATCAGGATGTCGCAGGGAAACACAGAAACATACAACCATGTATACTCACACTTATGGACAGTTTAGAGAAGCCGATTAACCTAACAGTCATGTTTTTGGACTGTGGGAGGAAGGCGGAGTACCCGGAGAGAACCCATGCATGCTCAGGGAGAACATGCAAATTCCATGCAGAAAGACCCCGGGCCGGGAATTGAACCCAGAACCTTCTTGATGCAAGGCATCAGTGCTACCCACTGCATCACTGTGCAGCCCTAGTTGATTTCCTATCTAGGATTTTTTGACAATTGCTGTTTACTTGGTGTTATTGCTGAGAACTTTGTTTTAGGGCTGAATCAATTAATCAGATTTACTTGTGTTTAATCCATTACTGAATCACTTGTGAATTAATGTAGTTATCGATTAATTGTTAACTGGAGCAGAGACTCTAAAACATGCCTCTAGTGACCCTCTTAAAGCAGCAATTAAATCAAAATTATAAAAATATATAAACAAATTTACATTTAAGATAAAAACTAAATAATCTTTTTTGTCAATGCTCTCTGTCCAGAACTCCTCAAGAGGAAACGTTTCAGTCTCACCTGGTTTGATTTTGTAAAAAGTCTTCTTTAAGGAACCTTTGGCTATCCGATTAGTAAACCATTAATTGAAAAAAATAATCATCAGATTAATCGATTTGCAAAATAACCGTTAGTTGGAGCCCTCATTTGTTTATGCATACAGAGTGAAGGAATTATGTTTATTTTCCAATTTTTTTTTATTTTTCATAGTTGTTTTTTTTTGTATTACTACTGTTATTACCAGTTAAAATTTATTTCTTTTTCTTAATTGATTGTTCTAAATGTATTTAATGGGAAACTTAAGTTTTGGCTGCAGTTTACAATTTATTGGTATAATTCATATTTGATTCATGTCATTAATAAATTAATACTTATTTTATGGTACATTAATTATAAATGGTAAACATCACAATGATTGTAAAAACCATCTTGCCACCCCCACTTTGGTTCCAGTTAAATTACACTCACCTGTGGTTCTCATATCAAAAAAAAATGTTTCCTCTTAAGGTTGAGGTGCAGCCCTTTCAGCAACATAGAGTTGAAATAATTTATTTTAGAAATTACTTTTTTGTGTTTGCAAATAAACAGAGATTGTTTCCAGTTGATGGTGTACGTCTGTGGGAATATTTTGTAGTAAAGTAACTGGTAGAAAATGTCGATTCTGAAAAACTAAATATTTTCAGAGAAACCTGATGATTGTATTCAGTAAGGCTGAGCTTCATGTGAAAAGTTCAAACCAGAGGAATGTTTATGATAAACTCTGTACCTGTTACGTTTATCTTGTAGTGTACCGCCTGGCCTATACAAGGCTAAAGACACTCTGCTCCTCTCTGCTGTCCTCTCACCCTGAGCTGGAGCCTATAATATGGACCCTATTCCAGTACACGTTACAGAACGAGTATGAGCTGATGAGAGACCGCCACCTGGACCAGGTAGTCAGGCATTGAAGAGTTACCATTATTCATTTCCCTCTCATAACCCCGTTGTACGGATTTAACGTTTTCTCCTTCTGTGTTTGTTTCTGACTTTGTTAGCTGATGATGTCAGCCATGTATGCCATATGCAAAGTGAAGGGTGTCGATCTGCGCTTCAAGTCCATTGTCTCAGCTTACAAGAACATGCCCAACACCAACCAGGAGGTGAAGCATCGCTCATGGAAAATGGTTTCATTTCAAAAGTTCAGCACTTTCAATCCCATGCTGTTTCTCTCAATCCTGCAGACCTTTAAGAACGTGCTGATTACTGAAGGCCACTACGACTCCATCATTGTCTTCTACAACCAAGTGTTCATGCAGAAGTTGAAAACAAATATCCTGCAACATGCGTCAACCAGGGTGAAACATCTTAAGTCCCAATTACAATGAAATTTTGGAAATTTTTCTGTAAACTCTGAGCTCATCAGATGTCCTTCTGCTGTTCTAGCCGCCTCCTATCTCTCCCATCCCTCAAATACCCTGCAGCCCTTACAAGATCCCCAGCTCTCCTCTGCGTGTGCCTGGGAGCAACAACATCTACATCTCCCCTTTAAAAAGCCGCCACATGTCGCCGATCCCTATGACCCCTCGCTCTAGGTCAGCCATGCCTCCGCTTCTGATGATTTTAAATAAAACAATGAGTACATTCACCCGTTTTGTTTCTTTATAAAATCAAATACATTTCTTTATTCTGGCTTTACAGAATGCTGGTGTCCATCGGGGAATCATTCGGGGTAAGTAGCAGTTTTCATCTCCACATTAGTTTGACAGTATTGTATGAAATTAATTTTGTTCCAATATCATTACAAGCAAAGAACGCTGTTTATAAATAGTTAATCCTTAATAATTATGAAATTCATAATTTAAACTTGGAACAAAAATGTTAATCAAAACAAGATTTTTATTTCCTTTTTTGCATTTTATACTACTACTATTATATTACTACTACTACTACTTTAAGATGTATGAGATAAACAAGCACAGTGAAGGGAAATAGAATAATGAATAATGACCGAATGAAAGACTTAAACATGCAAAGTATTTATTTAAACATTATTAAGGCGTTTTTTAAAGTACCGTATGTTACATTTCTAAAAGACTATCTTAAATTTGAATCAAATCTGTTTATTTTTAAAGCTTCTATAAACAATAAGTGTCATTTTAAGGCATTTTTAAAGTAAGTCATTTACATACAGTACGTCCCGTTTGGATTCTAGTTATGGAAAGAGTATTAAAGTTCAGTTAACTACATCAGAAGGACACGGACCCTTAAAAAGTCTTAAAAGACATTTATTTTCTTAAATATAAAATTAAGGCCTTAATTGGTATTAAGATGTCTTAAATCAGTCTTTCATAGGTCTTAAAAACAATACCACATCATAAATGTGCGGGGCGTGGCGGCCTAGTGATTAGGGCATAGAGCTTGGAATCCTGAGGTTGTGAGTTTGAAACTCACTCCCACAGACTGCACTGAGGGAAGACCGTGAACCTGCTCCCCGGGCGCAGCACAGTGGCAGCCCTCTGCTCCCCAAAGCAATGCAGAGAGTGTAATTTCATTGCGCTGTACTTGTAACAGTGTAATGACAATAAAACGCTGGGAAAAAAGAAAAATAGGATTTTATTTTTTTTATCCATATCAAACATTAAAATAAGGTAGAATAATGTTTTTACATTAAAACGATTCTGTGATGCGCCACTATCTTTCTATCTGGACAATGTGGGGAAGTGTAAATTCAATGAAAATTGTCTAGTTTTCTGCATGGCTAAAACCAGAACCAGGAAATGTAGATGAGGCACGAAGTCACTCAAGCTTGGCGCAATGGGAATCAAGGCAGTGGACTCACACATGCGAAGCGTGAAAACCAAGTTATGGAGAAGCAGCAATTCTCCGTCCTGTTCCTCCACAGCGTCTCCCACATCAACAAACCAGTAGCACCAAACCTCCGGATAGTGTTTGGCAGTTCGCCTACAATGAAAGCAGAGCTATTATGGACTTTGAGTAGGGATCAAAAATAAAGTTTGTGAATTCAGTTCAGTTCTTGTCAAAAATAGATCTGTGCGCAGAGGTGACGCAGTGGTTACCACACACGACCCATAAACAAAGGCCTTAGTCCTCAACGTGGCCGACCCAGGTTTGAGTCAGGCCTGTGGTCCATTGCCGCATGTCTCTCCCCCGCTCTCATCCCCCCTTTCCTGTCAGCCTACTGTCCAAAAAAACGAGCCACTAGTGCCGTAAATGCTAAAAATATATATGTATATAGATCTGTTATTTATGTGATTTTAGCTTTCTTCCTCCATGGAAAGTTTTTCAACTTTTTAAACATTTCTACTGGGCCAGAAATTAATGGTTAATGTTAAAATGATAACAGGGTTTATACAAGAATGAGTAACTCTAATTTAATGCTTTTTAATGCTCTTAGAAATCAATTGAATGCCATCAACAAGTACCCATGTATATACACGGCTAAATCCTTCGTCCTGTTTACCATCGACAGGCTGTCCTGAATTCTTTGTTTTCCAGCCACTTTTTTTGAAATTAGCATTTTCCCATTCTCTAGCTTTTTCTCCTCATCAAGCTTTTTGTCCGGACATAAAGTTTTACAATCAACCGAAAGCAGTTCTGCGCAAATATATCGCAATATATATAATATATCTGACAAAAATGTTTTTTTAATGACCCGCGGAAACCCTGAATAATTTGGGTAAATTTATCGCTACTCAGTTTCTTTCATTTATTATGAAGTTGGTCTTAACTTTTTATTTCTAGTGGCATTAAAAAGTCTTAGGAAGTCTGGAATTTAACTTGCCTTATGCTGTAGGAACCCTACACTGGGGGACTCTGCCTGTTGGTGAGGTGTCTGTCGCTCTGATGGCCGTCCCTCCCTTCTGACCTCTAGAGGACACATCAGTTGAGTTTCCTGCTCTCATGTAGTCCTTTTCCTCACCTGCAGGTGTCGAATCGCTTCCAGAAGATCAACCAGATGGTAAACAGCAGCGAGCGCTCCAACAAGAGAAATATGGGTCCGGGAGCCACTCTGAAGCCTCTGAAGAAGCTGCGGTTCGACGTGGACTGGCAGGACGAAGCCGACAGCAGGTTGGTCAAACACCTTCAGCTGTCAGCCAAACACTCTCTCCCATGTTTTAAAAACGAACAAACTAGTCAGTCTATGAGGTTGAATAGTTTTTTTTCCGGAGCACGAAAGACAAACCATCGCTGCAGCTCATCATTGTATTTCAATCGAGCTTCTCTGTTTCCATGCAGCAAACCTGGAGGAGATTCCACCCTGATACAGAAACTAACGGAGATGAGTGAGTGAAAATTCCCAACAGTTTCCAGTTCTGCTTTTCACCTTTAAAGCCTTTTAATTGCCACCGCAGTCCTTTGCTCTGTTTGGTGTTTGTTTACAAAGTGTGATCTTGTTTCCCCAGGCTCCACATGGAGTCGCATGAACGAGCAGAAGAAGGAGGACCCCGAAACGAGGGACGAGTCACAATAGAGACATCCAGGCTGACCTGCATTATTGTCTCATGGCAAACACTACTGTTGGTTCACACAGAAAGTGGAAGACGCAAAGTTTCTCTGTATATTCAATGACGTCTTTTAGTTATTTAAATTGCTCCATAACCTGAAGATACAAGAGAGCTTCTTCACTTTTTGTGTTTTTACTAAATGATTTTTATTGGTTGGACTTTTAAGAGTTCAAAGAACATTTATTTGGTTTTTAGGAGTTTTATTGGTTGTTTTTCATTAAGGAGGTTAATGTGTCCCCCTCTTGGAAAAGATCGATCATGATGCAACATTTCTAGTGTTAAACAATGTTTATTTTTCACAGTTATTAAGACCTCCAGGCAACTTCTGCATCAGGATCATTTTTAGATCAAAACAATTGAGATCAGTTTAACCTGAAAGTCTCTTAAAATACAGTTTAGTTTTTTTTTTTTTTTTTTTAAAGGAGATCTGGAGTCAACAAGTCATCTCTATCATGTATTTGTTCTGCCCAGGTACTGAAGCAGGTGGGTCCAATCTGCACAGATTAAACCAGACAAAGGACACATGAAATCTTTTTATGTTGTGTAAAATTTTTATGCTTTTCTTTTTGTTGTTGGAAGAAAAGATGTGCCTCGTATGCAAACATCTCCAAATGGGTTTAAGTTAAAGTATTTCTCAAATTTCTCTTTTTTTTTGTCTTACACTTGTAATTGATTTTAACCTTAAAAGTAGCAAAGGATCCTGAGGAAGGAGGAAAAGCATTATTGATCATGTTTAGAGAGCTTAGAGTAAAGGTTAAATGTACGTTATGTAAAGTTAAATGTGTTTATAGTTTTATCTATTTAGCAGGTTCCATATTGATTTTGAAAAGGAGAAAACTATCAAGTTTTGAGTGCATCTGTTTTTCATTTGTTAAACAGTTTTTTTTTTATGTTTTCCTGTTAAACTGATTATTGGGGGAAAAAAGGATTTCAGCTGATTTGATTTGACTCCATGTTTGTATTTTTCTTGAATACACACTTTTTCAAACTTTTAAAGGCTTTTCGTATTCATTGGATAATGTTCTTTATTTGAAAATGTTCTTTATTTTATGTCTTTTTTATAATAGTTTTTTTCTTGAAGAACCAGAGCATGCACCTTGACCCAGATCCTTGTTGTTGTTGTTTTTTTTGAATGATTAAATAAAAATTTGTTTTTGCTATCAGGACGGTTGAAAAACCTTCTTGAAACATCAGGACACACTGTTGACCTTGTTAGAATATCAGTTTAAAATAATTATGTTATGAACATTTTAGAACATTTCCTCTTTTTGTTTAACTCTGTAACTTATTTCCGTTTTAAATATCAAACAATCAGAGGCTCATTGCGTAGTGGCAGCCTCCTACGCTGAGCTGATAAAGACATTTGCATATGGCAGCAGTCCATCAGGCTTCCTCTTTAGATAAGGCTTTAGTGCGTTTAGTTGATCAGTAGTGAAAAGATGGAAGGAAATCTGAGTTATGCAACAAGTAAACTGCAAACTTTGTTTTTGGGACTTTAGTGTGATAGATGCAGATTAGTCAAACTTTTATCCAATATGGAAATATATTTAAAATAATGTTTATTTTATTTCAAACTTCATCCCATACTGCATTGAATTTATACACATTCTTATCTACTGTGTCGGCCTCTGTTAACTGTCTTTTAGTTATAAGATTGATTTATATACTATTGGTTCAGGTGAAATATTATGAAATACAATACAAAGAGTTAATTTATAGTTATAAATATATTTTGATTTTTTTAAAGTAATTTTCTGTATTGCCGATGTTGGTTCATCTCTCCTATGACTGGATCAAAGCATTACTGAATGTGCAAATCAGGTGATGATGTCATCTAATGACTATTAGGACAGCCAACAGCGACTTTTCTTCCTGCAGAGTTGCCAACAGTGGCTGCAGTTATTGGTCATACTTTTGGAAAGGCAGAAGAATGATATTCCAAACTTTCATTTACAGCTGCTTCAGTGATTTATTTATCTTTTTTTTTAGCTTAACTTCGAGCAGAACAGCAATCCCTCAGCGTAAAGCTGTGACCTCTGAAGATCGTGTTTACAACCTTTTATCTTTTTTTAGCCGCATGCAGCATTTTGCATGCTATTCACAAAGTTCAGTTTTGCTCTCACCTGACCATAGCAGCCTCCCCAACATGTTTGCTGTGCCCCCCTTCCCCAAAATTTTGACATCAGATTAATTCCTGTGATATCGTCCTGTATTAAATTCTCTAAATAATTTAGCAGGGCAGGATATTACAATATTGGCTCCTTCTGTTGTGTACAGAGGACTAAGAGAGTCACTCAAAAAGAAAAACAACCATTTCAAAATAAACTTTTTCCTTATTCTGTTTCTAAATTGGGATTTAAAAACCACTAATCTTAAACCATTAATCTGATTAATGGTCAATTATTTTTCATTTTGTATTTTTCAATTGTCTTCTTTTCCCCTCTTCATTCATTAATTGCTCGCTGTGAATTCTCTTGATAGTTTTCCTTTCTCATTAAGCTTTTGTGACCCTTGTTAATAAGCTGTTAACAAACTGTTAATAAGCAGTTAATGAAATGTTTAGAAAGGGAAGCTAAAGCTGTTAACAGGCTGAAACTGAGCCGTAAACAGATGGGAATCAAACTGGTGCTAAACCATTAAGCGGAGCTGCTAATCTGCTGTAACCAACCTGTTAATAAGCTGTTGTCGGGTAACTTAAACACTAATTACAATTTCAAAGTGCAAGGAGAAAAAAATATAATAGAAATGGAAAAATGAATTAACTTTTTAAATGTGTGATGTGGAAATGTCAATAGATTTATAAATTGTGGTTTTTAAAAATCTGTTTAAAAATATGATTTAAAAATGGATAGTCAAATTACAGAATTTAATACTTGATTTTCAAATTTGAAGACTAATTCCATGATTTAAACGTTTGATTTGAGATAGTTGTTTTTTTCTATGATTTTCCTGATCCTCTATAATTTTATGCCAATTCAGCACCTTTGATAAAGAGTCTTAGGTTTGAATCCTGATGGTGTCAGGAATTCTGCCAAAAGGACTCACTATTATAATCAGTACTAAAACAATTAGTCGATCCCTTATTATTGGACTAATTTGATAATGAAATATTCGTTAATTTGAGTGTACAGACTCTAAAATATTTATGGAGAGAACAACCCACTTAGAGATGTATGTTAGCCATAACTCTACTAAAACATGTTTATATTTTGCATTTCAAATGAAAAAAACCTTCTGGGTTTGTCAATTTTTGCAATCTAGAACTCCTCAGGCCAAAAAGTTTTCCTGGTTTAAATTAAGAAGTAATCTCCTTTCAAGGAATTTTTACTATTCAATTAAATATAAATGGGATGGAAAAATTAGGCAACCAATTTCCATTCGCAAATTAAACGTAGGTTGCAGGCCGGATTAAAACATGCTTTATCATCAGCATAAGCCTTGGAGGTTTTTATAAGAAAGTTATGCAGAGATTAAATGGGTAAAGTCTGGTGTAAGAAGAGAAAAGAAATCTAAGAAATCAATTACAATAATTAGTGAATCTTTAACTCTGAGCTGTTCCTCTAAGCTGCTTCAAGCTCCCTACTGCTTCTCGGGGGAGCAACTAAGGCAGCCGCTTTAATTGTCCTGTGGCAGTGTTACCAATGTGGAGACCAGGGATAATTCATGTTTGAGACAGTTTGTTTTCAGCCCAGCCAAGCATGAAACACTTTAACCAGGTTACATTTTAATTGGCTCTGGCCCCGGGGACAGGAAATTTTGTTATTGAGTTTATGGAAGATGATGAATCCATCTAGTCAGGCGGTAGCACATGATCGCCACAGTGCTCTGTTCTCTGATTGAGAGTGAACGTACAAGACTATTGGTATCTTCCACCTCCATCTCTGGTGCTCAAAATAGTTGCTAGAAATGTACTTCATGTCTCCAAAGACTCTGATGGGACTTTCGCTTTAGGATTCACATCGATAAAGCACATATTGGTCTGTCTCCGGGAATGGATAACCTCACGGTAAGTTCTCTTATTTTGATGTGCTTCATAGTGTGAACATCGACATAAAGAGTAGACTTTGATTTGTTTGTGCTGTAAACGTGCTTAAAACTGTTTCCAGTTCTGTCCTTTTTTTAACTTTTATGAAGCAATACCTGTTCAATGTACCTTCATCAGAACAACGGATATTTAGTTTCACTTGCATCATATCTTGACCTTTTTACATTGGTCTGATTTGTAACTTTCCTGCCTCGCTCACAGCCGGAGCAATGGCGCGAGATTATGAACAAAAAGATGCGCTTCCCTCCGGAGCTCCTCAACGCCATTCAGGAGGGGAGGATAGAGCTTCTATGTGGGCTCCTGAGGACTGGGGACGGCATCATTCGCCAGTTGGATGAATCAGAGGACCGCCAATGGAGGGAAGCTCTCAACCTCTCCATCCGCCTGGGCAATGAAGATGCCATGGATGCCCTCCTGCAGGGGGTCAAGTTTGACTTCCGGCAGATTCACGAGGCTCTGCTGGTGGCTGTGGACACAAATCAGCCCAAGGTAGTGAAACGCCTGTTGGATCGCCTGGACCAGGAGAAAGGCAACAAGATGGACGTACGATCCTTCTCTCAAGCCATCTTCGACCGGTCCATTGACGACTCACAGTTTGCACCTGGTGTGACTCCTCTGACACTTGCTTGCCAGAAAGATCTCTACGAGATAGTCACTATGCTCACTCAGAAAGGCCACGTCATCCCATGGCCCCATAAGATCTCCTGCGCCTGTCTGGAGTGTCGCAACGGCCGACAATACGACCTGTTGAAGTTCTCCTTGTCTCGCATCAACACCTACCGTGGGATCGCCAGCCGTGCCTACCTGTCCGTCACCTCCAATGATGCCATGCTCAGCGCCTTCAGTCTCAGCAGAGAGCTCCGCAAGCTGTCCCAAAAAGAGCCAGAATTTAAGGTATCCTTTCACAAATGTATTCTAATTTCTTTACGTCAGATCAGATAAAAAGAACACAAGAAAGTAGAAAAACTGTTTTGCGGTGTTTGGTTTATTTAAGGGGAAAAAGTAAATTCATCTAGATGTTGTTGATTATGGCAATGTTTGCCGTCTTTGAGATTGCTATAAATAAATTTAGCTAAGCCTGGTTCTGGCATGTTAAAGGTCAACCCACATTATTTTCTGAGTCTGGATTTTAAATATGCCACCTCCATTCTTGCTCTTTGGAGCCATTAAAAGGTAAACTTTTGAGTTTGCTTTTGATTAATCTATGGCCCAAATGGGATTGATTTTATCATCTCATACAGTACAGCTGCAGGTTTTCTTTCCAACCGAACAATAGCTCACTAGGCTCCATTCATCTCAAGTCATCAGGTTAAGACTGGACTCACTTGATGAGATGAATGGAGTCTGCCGTGCTATTGCTTGGTTGGAAAGAGAACCTGCAGCCACACGGGCCTTTCTGGAACCAGTTTGTAACCCCTGTATTAAGTTGTTAACTCTAGTGCTTTTCTTCCAACCCTGAAGAAAAACACTTGCTATGAAAGCAAAGCCACCTCTTCCTGTTGGGGTGCATCCCATTTCACGATGTTGCAGCATTACAAAATTTCTCAAAGCTCAACAAAGTCAAAGACCGCATTCAGTTGAACCGATTTAACAACTTTATATATGGTATTGTTTTAAAATAAGAGAGTTTGCTGCCCTGAGGAGATTAGCTGCTTAAAGAGCCATTTGGTCTTCTCAAAGTCATTACTTTGCCTCACATTCCATCATTGTGCAACATTTTAATTAAGGAATATCCTTATGAAATATTTCAAAATAACAAAAAAATTATTTTAAAGGATATAAGCTATTAAAATCCCAACCTATGGCATAAATGGAAGCAAGTGATGTCTGCCGTGTTTTTCATGATCTGAGTTGTTTAGCAAACTTTTGAGTTGTTGATTTGGTTATTGGTTAGCTCTTACAATAATTTCAGTACACTGACAATTCTTGGGAATTTTACCATGTTTTTTTCTAATTGTAGAACATGGCCTCAACTGTGGTTTGTTAGAGTCTCAAAGCCTTCCTATGACCAATGTGTGATTCTCCTGCAGCCTCAGTACCTGAGCCTGGAGCAGCTCTGTCAGGAGTTTGCAGTGGAGTTGTTGGGAATGTGCCGCAACCAGAGTGAGGTCACCACAATCCTAAACAGCTGCGGAGATGAGAGCCAGGACGCTTTGGATGAGCAGGCCTTCGAGGAGGGAATACCCAACCTGTCACGTCTGAGGCTCGCTGTCAACTACAACCAGAAGCAGGTGGGAGAACTGAGGCATGTTCAATTTGGTATGTATGGGAAAACCCTTAATTGCCTTGATAACCTTATCCTCTCTCTGTGTTTGTTAGTTTGTTGCCCATCCGATCTGTCAGCAGGTCCTTTCCTCCATCTGGTGTGGAAACCTGGCAGGGTGGAGAGGTAGCAGGACCATCTGGAAGCTCTTGGTCTCTGTCGGGATCTTTTTTACTATGCCCTTCCTTTGCCTCGTCTATTGGGTTGCCCCAAAGTCAAAGGTTGAATGGAAATTGCTGCTGAGTTTCAAGTCTAGAAATAACCAATCTTCCCAGGGGACAAGGTTGACAGTCTTCTTGTTTTTCTCCAGGCAGGAAAAATTCTTAAAATCCCAGTGATCAAGTTTCTCCTTCATTCTGCATCCTACCTGTGGTTTCTCATCACATTACTTGGAGAATCCATAACTATGGAGATGTATCGAGACAAATTTGCATCCCGTCAGCAGAACATCCTGCACAGCTCATTCCACATGGTGTGGGTGGTTGGTGAGTCCGGCCACTCGGGTTCAACTTTTATGAGCAACTCTGGCATGACTGACATTTAAAGGGGGCTTTATGTCTTTCATGTAGGATTCTTCTGGTATGAGTGTAAGGAAGTCTGGATTGAGGGCTTGCGGAGCTACTTCCTGGACTGGTGGAACTGCTTGGACGTGATGGTGCTGAGCATGTATTTGGCATCCTTCGCACTGCGTGTGCTCATCATGCTCAAAGGTCACTTCCTCTGCCATGATCAGAGCAACAGCGACGAATGCATCTACTTCACTCAGACTGGTGAGAAAATGGCATTGATTTATTCAGCTACAGTGTTTCTGTAGATATTCATCCCTACAGATTCCTAAAAAAGTTGAAAAACAATCTACTGGACTTTGTTTCCAAGTTTGAAGATGTTTCACTTCCAATCCAGGAATTCATTAGAGGGAATTGTTGGCCTGGCTGAACAATTCCCCCTAACGACCCCCATCCCCCTTTCAGAGAGATAGACAGGTATTGAGTATAACAGTCTAATAAAGAACCCAAAAGACTGCCCATTCCTAAGGGATGGAGCCGTTCGTCAGGTTCAGTTTGCATGTTTTCTAAGCCAAAACAAAGCTTTGTTTTTGGTCCACTCCATAAACCCTTGAACTCAACACTATTTCTGACATTTTGAATTGAAAAAGCTCTTGGATGGGAAGCGAAATGTCCTCAATCTTCAAAACAGAGACCAGTGGATTGTTTTTTTTTACTTTTTTGGAATGACTATGACCTGGAATGAGAATCTTCACCTGCATACCTGCAGATGTTTTTTACATTTCAACATGTTGCAACAGACCCTCATGTATTTCATTGAAGTTGTAAGTGATACACCAACAAAAGTTAACATCATTGTAAAGTTAAGCAACAAAAGTCATATATCATTTCTTGCAATGAATTCCAAATTGATTTTATTATTACAGACTCAAGGTCCAATATACATTAAAACAGATACACTAAGAAAAAAAAGAATAAGAGTACAACAGAGAAGGAACCTAACCCTTCAGAAGGCAATTATACCAATGTCTCCAAAGCACAGATGAGTATTTAACTGCACTATATTTGACATTGGTCATCAGTAAAATAATTCTATTATTAGACTCATTTAGACGACAAATAAATGTATACATAACCTTTCTCAAAACAGCCATAAAAGTCCTGACACTAACAGATACAAACAATGCACTGGCACTGGTCCATCTGGGCTTATTTAATAAAAGTCTTAGTGCATCATTATAAGCCACCTTCAACTTATGAAGACTGGCATTTTTAAAGTTGCACCACAAATGTGTGCAACTTTACAGTGATGCGCAATATGATCTGAACAAGTTCAGTTTCACTTTGTCAGAACAGAATACAAACTTTCGGACAAGGATATTTGCCTGAGCGTATATCATTCAGACGTGACACTAAATGTCCTCATCATCAGACAGACGGTCTGTCAACACATGACCAAGATATTTGACTAAATTTGAGACGTTTAATAAAATACCAGATAGTTTAAAATTTGGAAATATTATGTTTTTGTCCTCTTTAGTGCGACAGATCAAAATTATACTTTTTGAAGGATTGAATTTGACGTCATGAAGCTCATCATATGCTGAACAGACATTAAGCAGCTTCTGAAGACCAGCTGAACTTGAACCAAAGATTACTAGGTCATCAACATACATTAAATTATTTACAATTGTATCTCCAACCATTCAGCCAGTTTTACACAAGTTTAGCTGCTTAGAGAGGTCATTCATATAGAAATTAAACAGTATAGGGAACAAAATGCTACAATAATAATTGACATTAATTAACTGAAATCTAATTACCATGTAGAACATTCTTTGGCTGCAATTAAACCTGCATATATTTTGGATTTCTAACTGCTATGCAGATGTAGAGGGTGATATTTTTGCTCATTCTTTTTGGAAAATATCTTATGTAGATCTAACATAGATTTGGATGTCTTTATGAATCTTAGTTATATTTTATTCTTAGTTTTCTACCATGCCCTGTGGACTTATGCACTCATTGCTTCTCGGGTTTATTGTTAGAGCTGCTGTCCTTCTAGAAGGTAAATCTACACAGAGCCAACTTTCACCTCAGCAGGTTTTCTTCTAGAATCTGAATAATCAGATTTACTGTCTATGATTGTAAGAATAAAAACATCCCCACAGCATGACACTGCCACTTCCATGTTTTACTGTGGGGTATATGTTTAGGGAACTGTTCTGCTTTTTGCGGGTAAAAAAGCAGAACAGTGTAAAATGTTCCCCTTTGGTCCAATCTGACTAAAGGTTCTTTCTCTACATGTTTGCCTCATAGCTTAGGCCATATGGCTCATGTCAAACTTTAAACAAAAAGCTTCCATCACTTCAGAATGACCGTTTTCACCCAGCAAAATGCTGCTGCCATCATGTTTAATGTTACAAGGGTGATTTGTACAAATAACTGTTGGATGTCCTCAAAAAAGGATGACAACAAGCTTTCGTAAATCTTTGATCAAATTTTGCATAAGTGGACTTAATTCCCTGCTACTTCTTAAGGGAATTGCATGCACTGGATTTTAATTAGGGGATTTAATTTGATGGGAATTGAATACAAAGAAAAGTCCTTCTTTTCAATTTTCTATGAAAAACTATTTAAAACTGGCTTATTTTCCTTCATAATCAGGAAAGTCAGTGGGTCACATAAAATCCTAAAGGGACAAAAAGGGCATTTGATCTTAAAAGAATAAGGTTATATACTTCAAGCATCCAACCTGATAATGTACAGATATTTCTTTTTGAGCCTAAATAGAATTCCAGAGCCAGCTGCGATGAGCAAACATTAACAGACATGGCGCCATCTGTTGGCAGTACCGTGGAACATTTAGAAAGCCAGACAGCCACCATTAAAGCAGGTACTTAATAGAGCCCGGCCTTCTTACTATGCGTTGAGGTGAAGCTGCAACTTGGTGTGATCGAAGACCAACACAAAAATGATTGTATAAACCAATCTATTGCATCTTTAAGTTCTAGTTCATCCTCCTCAGAGCCTCCTATCAGAACATCAAGGAAAAAGAAAATTCCTGTTCCTAAAAAACACAAATAGGGAAACAGGGTTAAGGTAAGAACCAATTAATTATCCCTCCATCCATCTTTTCCGGCTTAGTCTTGTTAGGGTCGCGGTGGGGCTGGTGTCTATCTCTGGCAGTTTCTGCAAACTCCATGCAGAAGGACCCCGGGCCAGAAATCGATCCTAGAACCATCTTGCTGCAAGACAAGAGTGCTACCCACTGCAGCACCGTGCAGCCCACCAATCAATCAGTCTACTTCTAATGCCTAGACTATGGAGGTTAATTATCACATTGCTATCAAGAGTATCTGTATTAAAAGGCCATTTACTCGGGCATCCATCAACTTTGCAGCCACATCTGGGCACTTCGGCAGCTTTAGCTAACGCTTGGGTGAAAATCAACATTTTTACTGTATTCCGAGCGCTATTGAGGTCTTATTTTCACACTGTTCTTCGACTTTCCTTTATAATTTTTAGTGGGAACATTTTCTCATCTTTACCCTCTGCATACATAATAATAATTTAATGTTATTGATCTCACATTCAGGAAAATTACCTCTGTATTTAACCCATCCCCTTGGGAAACAGTGGGCTGCCATTGTGCGGCACCCGGGGAGCAGCGTGGGGTTATTGGGTCTTTGCTCAGAGACCAAGAGTGGCAGTCTGTGGGAGTGGGGCTCAAAATCACAACTTCAGGATTCCAAGCTCTATGCCCTAACCACTAGGCCACTACTCTTCGCCCAAGCACATGATCTTGCCTCCTTTGTTGTTGTAAAACACACACAAGGCTTTGTTTGCTAACAAATTTAGAAAATAAATTGGTGTAAAAAAAAAAACTTAACTTTGAGCCTTTAATAAGAAGCATTTAAAGCATTTTCTTTTTCTCCTGAAGTCCGTGACAACTGGCACCAGGAGGACCCACAGCTCATCTCTGAGGTGCTGTTTGCAGTAACCAGCATGCTCAGCTTCACCCGGCTGGCCTACATCCTGCCAGCCCACGAGTCCCTGGGAACGCTGCAGATCTCCATAGGGAAGATGATTGACGACATGATGAGGTAACAGCATTACTGCATCTGCATATTCACCTTTCTTAGAGAAAAAGTCAGAGTACACTAGCCTGATAAACCAGATTAAATGTGAAATTAAATGTGTAATTTAGTCTGGCCCCGATGAATGAGACATCAGAAGATTGTTGATGAGTCTGTGACTATTGCTGAACACTCTGACCAATGAGCACAACTGACTGTGATGTAGTAAGCGCAACAGAAAGCTGGTGAGGGAGTGAAAAGAAAACAGCATGTCGGTAAAACAGCGAATACGTCCTTCTGAAAAATTAATGAGCGTAGAGCCTCTGCCTGCTCACGTTTCAACAAAAACCCCAAGTCTAATCTTTCCAAAACTGATTCCAAAGCTGAGTCAAACAAGAACTGTTCAATAAGTGTTGCCATCTTCCTTGTTGTGGTTTCTCCAGCGTCGCGCAGCTTTGTCGTCATGCCCTCAAAACCCCGCCCACTTTGCATCCAAAAATTCCAAACACATCTCTGCGTTGTGATTGGCCCGCCAGATTTAGGGCCTGGGGCATTGATCGAGGCTAGACCAAACTCGCAGGCAAAAATGATTTTGGCCCTGGCGGGTGGGGCTAGTTTACTAGGCTAAGAGAACACAGCAAAGGAGGTAAAAATAACCTTTTTTTTCCTTTTGCAGATTCATGTTTATACTGATGATCATTGGAACCGCCTTCCTCTGTGGCATAAACAATGTCTATGTTCCTTATGTCATTTCTCCACATCTTGGCAGGTGAGAACGAAAGCTTTTCAGTTACCTACGTTCTGTAGTTCTACAGAAATTAATGCATTGTGTCTGCTGTAGTTTTCTCTTAAAAGACTGTTACGATATCAACCCTGCTTTATGACTCTTCTGCAGGTTTAATGAGACCTTTAACTTCTTATTTTGGACCATGTTTGGCGTGGCCAACCAGGACTATGTGGACATGCCCCAGTTTGTTTTAGCAGAGTTTGTAGGAAGGATCCTGTACGGCATCTTTACCCTCGTCATCGTTATTGTCCTCCTCAACATGCTCATTGCCATGATTACTAATTCCTTCCAGAAGATTGAGGTAAAGAGTCAGAGGTCTTCTGTGTTCCTGTTTTGTAGAAGATAGAGCTCAGCGATGCAGCCTGACATCTGTTCTCTCTTTCAGGATGATGCAGACGTAGAGTGGAAATTCGCTCGTTCTAAGCTGTACCTGAGCTACTTCAGAGAGGGCCTCACCATGCCTGTGCCTTTCAACATCATCCCTTCACCAAAAGCTATCTTTTACATCCTGAGGTAAAACTAAATCTTCTACCAAAAAAATATGCATGTTTTAGTTTAGATTTATAATTGGGTTTTCTTTCCAGGGGGATTTTTAAACGCATCTGCTGTTGCTGCAACTATAACTCAGAGCAAAAATACCCTCCGATAGCCTCGGTGGTGAGTGTGCGTTCAGTGATCCAAATCTATTTTGTTTTCTGTTGCCTTAAGAAGGAGTTTAATGAAATCTAATCTTTGGAAAAAGTCCAGTGATAAGGGATCGGAGGACAGCCTGCCTTACCGACAGCAGGTCATCAGAGCTCTGGTCCAGCGCTACATCGAGTCGGCTCGCAGGGAGTTTGAGGAGACCAAGAGGAAAGGTAACCAACAGGCGATGTAAACACACCCCAAGTACTGCATTATGTTATGGCAAAGAATTAAAATAGCTTTTTACAGTTTTAAAACATATCAGGAATTCAGCAGTTGGTGCTTTAACATATTATTTTCACTTAAAAAAAAAAGAAACCTGAGTTTTTAAAACTCTGATTCCAAATTACTGTTTTGAACATGCAAAGATATTTATTTTGTTTCTGTTCCTTCCATTTAAAGTCAATTAAGACTTTTTAGTTTTAGAATAAAAGATGCATTTGTTAATATACTTTCTGTTGTAGACTAGAAACATCCTTTACTGCCCCAATGTGAGCACGTTCCTGTACATCAGCCACAATTAAAGGAAAAATTAACAGAAAAAAATACTTTACAGATATCAAAATGGCATACATGATAAATTAAACATGAAGTTTTTTAAAAAGTGTTATAAATGTGCATGTATAATTATGAATTAAAAATCTGATTATAAAGATTAACATTCCTAACAGTCTAACACATAAATTAATCACTGATACTGTTATTAGTTAAATCAAAGAACAGAAGATTACAACAAAACAATATTATAATTATAGAAATTTAAAAAAACTAAACAGAGGATGTGAAAACTAAGACAAAGAAAAAGAATGAAAACAAGTAAAAATGTGTAAAGGAAAACGACACACAAGGTACAAGGGCAAAAAACAGACACACTCGGGACGGTAATGTATGGGAGCCCATTGATGCCAATCTGATAATTAACAAAAAACAAACACTAAAACAACTTGTATGTAATTATCATAACTTGGCTACCTCATAAGTATAAGATATAATCTCATAATAATTACTTTGGTATCTTATATGAGATCTAGCATGGCCAGATCTAATAAAACAAACTTGGGAGATGTACACTTTAAAAAGTATGCATCCGTTTTTGGCATTTACTTAATCATATTTAGTTACTTTAACACAATTGTTTCATGTTAAAGTAACCGGACCGTGCCGGCAAATTATGGCAAAACTGAACCGGACCGTGCCAGACACAACCGAACCGCGCTAAACTACAGTACTAGATCATCAGTAAGGCTCGGCACTGTTCAGTTCTGGCTCGGTTCTCAGATAACAAATAGTGCATGAGCAGACAGCGTCATTTCCTTACAGTCAGTCTCCGTAATCATGAAACTTCGGACATTCATAAAAATACTAGCTTCCCTACTGTGTAAGGAACTGAGCTTGAAACGGGTCAATTTTCAGAGGGTAGTGTAAATAGGGCTTTTGTTATGGCTGCGTTTTCTGTCCTTTATGCGTAGTTTTCACCATGTTTTTATTATCCTTTACCTGTTCTGTTTTAAGAGCATGGCGTGAAGGTTGGGCATGCAGAAAAATGACTTTCCATTCAACAGCCAATCAATCTGCAGCTAAATGAATGTACCTATAATTTACAATAATTGCTTCATCAATTCAAAAAATATGATTATGCCAGAATTCTGACCAAAGTTAACATCAGTTCCAACACTTTAATTTCTCCCCCCAAAAAAATAATGAGCAGAAGACTTTCTAGTTTTTCTACAACACATGAGATCAATGAAGTCGTTAAACTTATGCTACAGCTAATGCTACTGCTCAGGCTAATGCTATGGCTAGTGCTAAGCTAGTGAATAATCAGAAAATAGCTCCAACCTAACAAAGCTTTGTATTTTGGCTAAAAGAAAGAGAACATTTAGTTGCTACTTTTGATTTTTTTAAATACTTTTATTTTTTTTTATTTCCAGTGAGTGTTAACACGTCCACCTGTATTTTAACGATAATTTAACTTTATTGGTCTCACATTGGAGAATTACCTCTGCATTTAACCCAATCCCTTGGGGAGCAGAGGGCTGCCATTGTGCGGCACCCAGGGAGCAGTGTGGGGTTAAGGGTCTCGCTCAAGGAGCCAGAGTGGAAGTCTGTGGGAGTGGGGCTCAAACTCACAACCTCTGGATTCCAAGCTCTATGCCCTAACCACTAGGCCGCCACTCCCCATTTAGAATGTATTCTGGCCATCCAATAATCTGGTTTCTGGAGGTTATGGTCTATTTTCCAGGTGACGTTCATACATAACAAAGGCATGTTCCATTTTTACTAAAAGTGTATTTTAAGATTCCTTATTTTAAGTGTAAAAAGGGTTGACTAATTGAGATTTTTAGGCTGAACCGACTTTAAAAAGAGCACATGTACTGCTGGGTTTGTTCGAGTAAAGACAAGTACTCTAATCAGGAACTTTAGCAAAACTAAGAGACAAATAGAGTTAGGAAAAAAAATGTTAACATCATGGTCCAATAAAATATCACGTGTGAGGTATGTTCAGGTCAGATTAAACTGAGACTTTTTACCAATAGCTTTTAGCTGATGAATAATTCAGGAGAAAAACAGCTCAACTGTTTCAATTAGTTATTCTTTAGCTGCCAGACTAAACATTATGAATATGAGCAGAATGTTTCCCGTAACAGGCAGACCGCTTCCCTTTTCTTCTCAGCCTGGAGGAAGTGTTGCATACTATTTCCAAAACCGCACTCTCAATTCATCAAACCATCAGATAATTTCAGACCAGTACAGTACAGTCCAGTTTTAGGCCAAGAGGAGAAAAAGCTTATTTTAAATGAATGTTAGAGGTTTATTATGCATTTGTTGATTATCTCAAAATCATATTCATTAACAAGGATTTTATTTGAAGCCAATTAAGTGAGGAAAATGCTGGGATACAGAACCATATAAGGTCTGAGAGGAAAATAAAATATAAATATCCATGATCCTCTAAGATGTAATTTTTTAAAAGAGATTGACCGGTTATGTACATTTTTGAGGTGGTTTTGTTTCGTTATTCACACCAAACCACCAAAAAGCTTACGATGTCCCAGCAAAGCTATCTTTGACTGTTAACAACTTCTCTATTAATGTTTGGAACATTTTTGAAATTTACGGATTTGAAAAAAATGTATTTACGCCCAATAACTGAGGCTTAGTTGGCTGCAGATGTGACCTTTGTGTTGTAGCTGCAGTGCAAAACTGTTTCAGACAGCTGGCTTGGTTCCTCTGATTTACAATAAAAACTTGACTTAAATTGTTTAACAAACATAAATCCAAGGTTCTGGGGAGTCCTATAGTCTGCATAATTTTAAATATCTGAAGTGTTAAATGATATAAAATTTAGGGTGTAAAAAAATTTTGGTTATCCACACTTTTTTTAACCTTCTAAAGGACAAGCTTTTGATTATCAGAAATTATGAAGGAGTTTTTTTTTTTACTAATTTACTACATTGCAGTTTGCTTTTAACCTGACTGAATGGAAAAACAGGGAACATCTCCACTATAATTTTTGCACCATTTTTGTTTATTCGCTTCCTTTTGTATCTCTGCTTCTGTCTCCTTGAACCCCAGTCGGCCTCAGCAGATGGCCGCTCACATTGAGCATAGTCCTGCAGGAGGTTTATTCAGATTAAAGAGAGTTTTTCCTCTCCACTGTTGCTGCATGCATGCTCAGTGTGAGGGATTGCTGAAGAGTCAACAACAAAATGCAAGCATAAATCATCACCACGAGCTCATCCACAAGAAGCTTGTCTTGCAAGTCAATGACTGGATGAAATCATCGGATTATCCTTGGTAGCAACTTTTATCCAATCTGACACTATTGTATCTGTAAAGTGTCTTGAGATGACATGTGTTGTGAATTGGCGCTTTAAAAATAAACCAAATTTTATTCTATTTTTAGTTGCCATTAGATATTTCCTTTGTTCTTAAGACAATTGGAAGAACCACCAGACTGACTAAAGCAGATGCAGGTTCCAACCATGACCTTTGTTTTTTGTTTTTTTTTCAAAACAAATCATATAAAAATAGAATATTGATGACATTTGTATTTTCCACGGTCCCTCAATGGAGCAACTAGGAAAGTTAGTGCCAAAGCTTTAAATCATAATTCCAGACCCAATGTTGTCTAAGTCCCCACACCCAGGGGGCAGTTTGAAACTGGAAAAAAAAAAAAAAAAAAAGGAAACTGACAGGGAAAAAATTGTTTTGAAAAGCTATTTTAAATATATATTTCAGTTTCAAATAGATTTTTTATACTCAAAATTATTGTTTTGTAAAAAAAAGTTTTTGAACAAACTTCTTGGTTTTAATTTAGCTCCATATGTTTCCATATTGTAAGAAACTACTTGGTTTTCATGGATAAATTTTTTTTCCTTTATTTATAATTGCAGTTTTCTTTGTCCTTATTGTAAAATTTTATTCAAATTGGAATCCATCATGTGGCATTAAATGTTACTATTGCAGCCCTCATTATAACAGAAAAAACAACTGGAATTAAAAAAATTTGATTCAAAAATTTCTTTTTATTTCCTTAATTTGAAAAGTATGATATTACAATTTAATATTTTTTTTTCCAATCTGAAAATAAGAAGACTTTGAGCAAACTTTGTGGCACAATATAGCTCTATATAGTAGTTAACATTTGAAACCCAAATTTTCATATTTTCCCAAACCTCTGGAAATGATCTAGAAGTTGTAGTTAATTGAAGTTTATTGGGAAAATTAAAACGTGTTATTAAATCACAGAAATTCTGCTCACCAGAAGCTTCGATTTCTTACTATTCCTAATGTAAAGGCTGTGTAATCAAATAAGGAATCTAAAGTGTTAGCCTATTAGGAGAGTTTGAAACTAAATAGAATTTTATCGTCTGCAAACCTAATTACTGTGATGTGATTTGTGTTTTCTCCCATTAGACATCGGTAACCGGATCACAGAGCTGAACAAAGCCGTCTCCAGGATGCACATTGAAATGAAAGGGATCCAGCAGCTTCTACTGACTGATGGACACGCTCCAAACGATGCGCTGACCAAGGATGGTTCCTCTGTGCTGGGGAAATACATCATTGGTGCCAAGAATAACTTCAGAGGCTTTAACAGCAGGCAAGATGACAAAAACACATCGCTTAAAGTGACAGTTCATCACAAAGAGGAAGGGGCTGATGAAAGGAAGGCCGATTCAGAGGCGCGGCAGGACACAGATGCTCTATTGAATCAGGTGAATGAAAGTGAAGAAGAAGAATCGAGTAAGGTGACAGACTGCGAAGTGGTGAAAATGGAAGAGGGACGAGCAAAAGCAGAAGTAGAGGGTGAGAAGGAAACTGAGAAAAGAGAGCATGTAGTAAGGTTAAACAAGGAAGATGATAAAGTTAAAGAGGAGGTCACAGGAGGGACAAGTTTTATCAGCCCAGAGGAAAAGGTGAAAGTTGAGAGCACACAGGGTGCAGAGATAAAAAGGGAAGGAGAAATGAACTCCCAGGTGACAGAAAAACAAGAAGAAATGAGGCCAGAGAGCAAAGAAACAAGCTGTGAAACAACAGCTGCAAAGAAAATGATTGACAAGTTCAATAACATCGAGCTGATAGAAAAATCAGGAGAGGCTGGATGGATGAAGGGAATAAAATGTGGGAGTAAAGTAGAGGGGAGATCTTGCACAACCAAGGGGGGCGAGAACAACGGAAACAAGAAAGCGATTCAGTCTCCAACGGGCAGCAGCGGCTCAAACGACACTGGCTTTGGTTCACAGGAGGGGGAAGGATCCATAGACGCCCCATCTGTAAAGACCTGAGCACAGTGGTTGTTAGGGGCTTTCATGTCTGGAGACAAACTGGAGGATTTCAGAAGTGAATAATTATCAGAATGATCACATTGGATGCAGATATTTAAATATCTTTTAGTCTAGCCTATTGCAGAGGATAACACACAGATCTGGGCAGGAATCTTAACCTTTACCTTTTAATAAAGTAACACTTGTTCAACATCTCCTCCACCAAGGAAATGAACTTGCTGTGGCCATTAAAGGGATGATGATAAAAATATGACGAGCATGAATGCATGACACTTGCACCCAGGTCGCACAGGCTGAGGGTAGCATGATGATTATGGGTCAGAAAGTGTGCATCTTTTGCTTTCAAGCACTAAAGGTTAGATTTAGATCACAAAATTGTTTATTTATTAAAACTCTCAAACTGGTATAAGGTATAGTTTCTTTTCAACGTGGTGGTTTCTAATAAAAAGTGGACAGACAATTAAGCTGTTGCCTTTGCTTCTGCTTTGATACCTAACTTTCTAGATTTTTAGTTGGAAAAATAACCTTCTGACGTCAGAATTCCTGGTTGGAAAGTTGGATGTGCAGAACAAGCCAGAGATCTATATTCAATATGGCGGCCATACATATACGGTAAAACATGAGAGATTTCTGGTACTGTATGTTCCATAACCTAATGGACATTGTGCCTCTTTTTAACTGACTTAAACCCACAACACACTGTTTCATTACACAAAGTCAACATCTCAGTCTGCCTGCTTGACATAAATCACTGATTAAAGCTGAAAGCGGTTGTATTTGTTGATTTGCTACAGATATCAGTCCAAAACATTTATGAATGATAAGACAGATGTTATAGCTATAATAATAGAGAACATTCCTTTTCTTTCTCCCACATCGGATCATTGTTTCTCATTAGGATTATAGTTCCATTTTCAATTACAAAAATACCCACAAAAATGAGGGATATACACTTTATTGCCAAAAGCATTTGCTAACCTGTTTTGATTCACATGAGCTTCAGTGACATCCCTTTCTAATCCATAGGGGTTCAATAAGACGTTTCTCTACCCTTTGCATTTAAAATAGCCTCTAATCTTTAAGGAACGCGGTCCACAAGGTTTAGGACTGTTTATGGAAATTGTTTCACCATTGGAAGAGAAAGCCTTGCCACACCACACCAGCCCACACCATAATATCCCCTCCACCAAACTTTGCACTCAACACAATGAAGCAAGATAAGAACTGTTCTCCTGGCAACCGTCAAACCCAAACTGATCCATTTTTAGATGGAGGAGCACCATTCGTTACAACAGAGATCATGTCTCTACTGTTCTGGAGGTCAGTGCTTTGCACAACTACATCCGGTGCTTTGCACTTGGTGATGTGCGGCTTGGATGCAGCTGCTCCACCGTGGAAACCAATTCCATGAAGCCCTCTGCTCTCTGTTCTAGAGCTAATCTGAAGATAGCATGAAGTTTGGAGGTGTGTAGCGACCAACTGTGCAGAAAGTCAGCCACCTCTTTACACTATGGGCATCTCTTGACCCTGCTCCATCAGTTTATGTAGTCTACCACTTTGTGGCTGAGTTGCTGTTGTTCACAAACATTTTCCATTTTCTTGTGATCCAGCTGGCAGCTGACTTTGGAATATTTATAACAGTCTGGATACCGAGGTGTTGATTTTATACACCTGCGACCAGGAAAGTGATTCCAATCATTTGGATGGGTATACTTTTGCTGTATTGTGTATTTTAGGATTTATTTAATTACGTTCAGGGAAATATATCTCATGTTGTGTTTCAATCAAATGTTATAAAAAGTATGTAGGCGTGGCTGAACTTTAAATTTCAGACTTTTTGTCATAAGACAAAAACAAAACAGCCCCAGGCAATGCTTTTATTGAGGATTATGAAATGTGGTATACTTGTATAATCCACTAGGATGCACAAAAAAGTATCTTGGAGCCATCCTCCAAACCCCACAGAAAGTCGGCCATTTTGGATCAAACATGCATAGAATTTAGGCACTAGGGATCAAAATTTATCGAAATAGAATTGAACAAATCAATGTGATGTAAAAATCAATTCTAAAACACAGTAAAGGCCAAAGGGCCGAAAATTCCATATCTCAGCTTTTTGCTCTTTTTGATCTGATCTGCTTCAGACTTCATAAAAGCGATCTTTGAGTCTCTTTTGTCAAATTTATCTGATGACATGAAACTTTGACTCAACTGCACCCCCACGGAATAGGAAATGTCCAGAGGTGCTGTTTAGAAGGTTGGATTTGGGCCAAAAAGATATAGGCATGGGGGAGGGATAAATGGCTCCAGGGGTTCTGATAGCTGCCCAACGCAGCTTATGTTTTGAACTCATAGATCTATTTTCTGTCATGCTTTATCCCTGCTGGGGTCGTAAGGGGTGCTGGTGTCTATTTCCAGCTTTCTATGGGGGAGATGCAGGGTACACCCAGGACAGGTCACCAGTCCATCACAGGCTTTAATTAATATTTGTGTTTATACAAGATGGCCTGAGTTAGTTTCCTGTTTCAATCACATTTTAGTAGGTATTACGGCTTTTTTTTTTTTTTTTTCTTGGATTGGCCCATATGTGCATGTGTTCATTCATTAGTGCATTCAGCAGCCATTGCTGCTCCCTCCATTTGCTACCCAATGTTAATATTTTTTTTTGTTTTATTTGTTAATAAATGTTTTTTTGTTTGTTTTAAATCAAGAGTTGTGTAGAATTTGTTATTGTGTCATTTGTATGATGTAAATGGAGGAAGAGAAACAATATTGGTTTAGAAAACCATCTGCACATATCAAGGCATCCTTTATCCATCCATAAAATATGCAGTATCATGGCCCTTAAAAAAATGTATTGAATGATTTATCTAGATTCAAACAAACCATCTCATTTTAGTTGTTTTGTTTTAATTGTTTTTTTTTCATTTATCTTTGATACGAAAGAATGTATAAATGTATCACATCATAAACTGTAGTACTTGTAGCCGTAGTGTAGTACCTAAAAACGTGCCTTTACAAAGCATAATTGAATGACATGGTTTAAACATTTAATAAAAAGCACAAACATTTTACAGTGAATTGATGCTGATCACATGGCTGACCTCTTCTCAGAACTCATCTAAGATCATATTTAAATGTTCCCACAGTGAATTCAGTTTAGGGCTCAAAGCGTTCCTTAGCTAGGAAAATAGCTAAAATTATGGATGGAAAATAGTGAACTTTATATTTTCATGTACATTTAATTTCCACAAAAACAAAACGCCAAATAGCCAGGAGGATCCATCTTCAGTTAAAGACGTAGTGACAGAACGCCACTGTCGCACCACTTCCAACAACCATTTATGGATCTATGGACCATTTACAGGTGATGCACATTGATCTTACCAGCAGTGCCAGAATCTGGCAAGGTTCGCATCAGAGGGATTTCATCCTACAGAATCCCCAATGTTTTGCCAAAGTTGTCTGCCTTCGCTGTTCAAGCTTGACCAATCCTTTTAAACCTGCAAGATTTCATGGGTTATGGAGAACATTTTAGGCAAGAATCTTTGTTAAACTTAAAAAATATATGCTTATATATTTCAGGTTTGAGAAAAAATACAAAAAAGGCCAATCTTAATGTGACCAAGAAATTGCAACCTCAACTAACAAAATATTTGAACCATTGTAATTCCTTTATAGGATGAGCCCTAGAGAAGCAAACACTGTTTTACTAACAGTAATATAGAAACTTGTTTCAATCCATAGTGAAACAGCCTCTTAGTACTGCTATCATTGATCAATAAAACAAGATAAATAAAATACTACTGGTGGAAAATCTAAACGGCATTTGTCCTTTTGTTCGTTTTAAATTTGAACACAAATGTTTTTGTAATATTTCAGTTCTAACTGCTGAAATGTCGACTGGGTTCACAGATGAATGTTTCTGTATCAGTTTGTTAGGAGTTTATGCAACAGAAGCAAGTCCCAGCTTGTTTAACCCCATCTGCCCCCCTGGAGGCATGCACTAGCACACCAAGTCATTAATTTCTCACCTGCTGCATCATCACTCCCAGGGCACATTACATACCTTCTGGAAAATCACCCTAAGATATACCGTCATCACCATAGTGTTGCATAAGACACAATGTTCTGCTTGGATTCGGTTTGTTTCATTAAAGCGTCAGTTTAGTCGATACAGACCAACTGGAATGTTTCTGACAAAGTAGTTTGATGTGTTTTCATCACGATCTAATGAGTAGGAAAACAATTAAGAAGCTGTTTGGGAATCTGAACAAAGATGGTGGAAAACCTTCCCACCCTGCTGCTAATGTCCAAACAAGAAAGGTTTAAATCAAGGTACACACTCATTCCAAACGTTTGTTTTTAATAGTTTTAATTCTGGAAAGATTGTTTTTGAGTGCTGTAAAAGTAAAAAAAAATAAAAACATAGTTCCTGTTATAAACGATGAAAAAAAAAAAGCAAATAAAGTAAAAACCTTAATAGCTGCACCTTCCACATTTATCTCCAAGATATAGATGGAAAAAAGCTTTAAAGTTATTTTTTTTTTTAATCATATGTCTTACTGACAGAACATGTTCTCCCATCTTTTCCATTTTAAAGAGTCACTCAATAAATAATTAACTCCAACTAAAGGTTGGATTTTTCCATTTACGTTATAAGAATTATACTACAGCAATAAACTATCAACCAAGCTTTTAATGCATCTCTTTAGGGTTGCTGATAAATATGGAAGCTGCTCTAGTACTTTTAATGCCGTAGAATGGATTTAATTAAAATAAAAAAATGTAAAAAAACACTGCAATGATAACATTAAGTACAAAAAAATTCATCCAATATTTCATTCTGTACAATGTGAAATTGAGCTAAATTGGAGCCATGAAGTTTTTTCAAAAACTTTTCTTTTGAAGCCGAAAAAAAACAAACAAAAAAAACAAAACAGTACAATAGACTTGAACGGACAAGTCTGAAAATACTTTTCAAACAAATATTTTACCTTTCAGTTTCAAACTGATGTCCTCTGTGTGGGCGCACCATATATGACATGGGGTTTGGAATAAACCAGTGTAATACCTAGGAATAATTTTCATAGCTGTTGCATTCAGGAACCGTGGAAAACAGAAATGTTTTTACTACATCATCAATATTTTTTTGATTGAGTGCATTTGGAAACTTTTACATCCATCTAAACCATTTCTCAAATATTCAACAAATTTAGCCAAACTAAGTTCACTACAATCCATCCATAAGCTAGATGATAACAATACATTTGGTAATCTTAAAATCTTTTTTTTTATTCGCTATTCCTTTCTTCACTTCTTCGTTATTCATACATATGTTTGTCCATCCATGTCCAAACACATGCAATCTTAAAAGGATAGAGAAAAAAAACCCAATAACAATAAAAGAACACTTTAAATATGTGGCATTAAGAGGTTGTTGACCTTAATTTCGTCACATGACAAAATCTGATCTCACTGGTGATATAAATTACACCCAATTTTTCAGATTCTATTCTCAAGGTGAGCCTTTCCGTCATATAAACATTATGTATTACTTCAACCCAATCTTCCATTGATGGAACATCTCATTTCAGCCAATTCCTGGTTTTAGCTCCCTTACCAACCACCAACTGATCATGAAAATATATTTAACCTCTGAGGTTATCAACCTTTCAATCCCTCTTCCCATGTATTAACTGTCAAATATTAGAGGAAGTTTCTCAACATCATTGATATTCTATATTTATATGATTGGTTTTTGCTGCAGTCCTGCCACTGCTCTATCAGTCTGGCTCTTCCTACACTATAAGAACACAGAAAATGTCCCTTTGTCAATATCATGGTTCCAACGTTTCCATCAGGCTCTCAAATATCTTATACAAGTACAAAATGTTATTTTGTAAAACAAGTTACATTTACATAGAACTTCTGTTTTCAAGAAAACCTTCCTATTTACTACGATTCCTGAATGCAACACCTGAGATGACTGTTTAAGTTGTCAGTCATCATTCCACACCTAAAGTTCTCCAAAGCCTGCCCCTAATTAGAGGGTCAGCAATATAAAAGAAAAAGAAAATAAAAAAACAACAACTGAAAGTTATATTTTTTTAGCTAAATCTTTTTTGTAAAAACAATTTTTCAGTTTCAAAAATACTTTTGAAAAAATGTCTAACAAACTTTTTGGCTCCAATTTAGCTCCATATAAATAGAACAACCATTTCATAGTTAAAAATGTTTGGTAATCATAAAATAACTGTAAACTTGGGATTTTTGAAGCCGTTGGTGGGACGGAGCTGCAGAGAGTCGCTGCCTGCTTTAGGAGCCACACATCAGGCATTCGTCCTTGTTTGCTAAGGAGCAGACCATGGCTGCTGTGTTGCGCTCCCTGGCTTCCTCCTCCACACTCTTGGCCGACTGGCTCTCCCTCAGCTTCTCCTTGTTTAGTGTGAACTGGATGGGGTTGGCGGCGGGCTTCGTTCTCAGGTAGTACATGCCTGTTTTCAGGCCCTGTGGGAGAAACATGAACCGGGCTTAGAGGGCTGCCACCCTCGCTGCGGGGCGGCATTTGTTCTTTAGGGTGCTGACTTACCAGCTTCCATCCGTAGAAGTGCATGCTGGAGAGTTTGCCGTAGTTGGGCTCAGCGATGTGAATGTTGAGAGACTGACTCTGATCGATGTAAGTGCCACGATCTGCTGCCATCTTGAGGACAGTCTTCTGGGAGATTTCCCAAACTGTTTTATACAGCTGCTTAATATCATCTGGGATTTCTTTAATTTCCTGAAACAAAAGTTATGGCATGTTAAAATCTGTTAATTAAAATGTAAATTATAACACTATACAGAAACTGATACCGAGTTATTTATTTAGTTCTAATAGATTTATTTTTATTAATTTACCTGGATGGAGCCATTGTGAGCAATTAACTGGTTCTTCATATCCTCATTCCACAGTCCTCTTTCTGTAAGATCCTTCAGCAGGTGAGGATTCACAATCTAAAGAACAGATATACAATTGAAAACCTTAAGTTGATCTTCCTTTAAATACTGACTGGGGTCCTGAGACCTTTACTGCTGATCCCCAGTAAGCCAATAGCCTCTGATACGATTAAAAATTATGGCGAGTTCCATTTATCCTCAAAAGTCAAAAACTTCCAACTTCAAAGTCATACATTTCAACTGTGATGCTGCTAAAATTCAGAATTGGGATTCAGGAAATCAGGAAACGGGATGATATCCGACTTCCGTATTCAGTTTGGCAGCTACTTCCATCAAAAGGAGCTGAACTTTCAATGTTCGACTGGAGCTGTTCTCTATCAGGTATGTGGCACTAAGTCCTCACCATGACATCACTCCAAGTCAATAAATTCCAGTTATTGGGATTATAAAATGGCTAGAAAAAAGGCTAGTGTAAATTGGATACCTTTGATCATCAAACCTTGATCAGGGACAATCTGAATCCTACCGAGGAGGTCTGTGTTTTCATTTCTATTTTTATTAACAGATTTAAATGAGCAAATGTCTAAGCTGACCTGGAACTCTCCTGAGAGCACCCTGCGAGTGTAGATGTTGCTTGTGTAAGCCTCTATGGACTCATTGTTACCCAGGATCTGGGCAGTGGAAGCTGTGGGCATCGGGGCCAAAAGAAGGCTGTTCCTCACACCGTGCCTACGGACAAACACGCTTCAGCTTAATAACAGACAATCTACAGGAAAAACAGATTTCTAAAGAAAAGAGCAAGTGAAGATTTTAGGTAGACTCACTTGGCAATTTTTTCCTTCAGTGCCTTCCAGTCCCACAGATCTGTGGGGGTTTTATTCCACATGTCGTACTGAAGGATCTGAAAAAAAACAAAATTACAAACCGGAACCCCAGAAATATCAGCACACATCCAGCCCCTGTAATCTGCATCCCAAGATGGATATGTGAAAAAACGACTTACTCCCTTGCTGACAGGAGAGCCAGCGTACGTCTCATAGGGTCCGAATTCTGCTGCCAGTTCACAACTGGCCTCCAGGGCAGCGTAGTAGATGGTCTCGAAGATGTGAATGTTGAGTAACTGGGCCTCCGGACTTTCGAATGGGTAGCGCATGAGGATGAAGGCGTCGGCCAGACCCTGCACACCAATTCCTATTGGCCTGTGACGCTTGTTGGATTTTTCAGCCTGTGGTGCAGGAAGTAAAAGGCATTTAATTTCTTCTGATTTGGTCAATTTCTCAAAAAATTACACACAGATTCAAATGTATTTCCACATCCTTCACTAATGCTTGTTCTGTTCTGTTGTTCTGACTGTTGTGTCAGATGGTGGTTGCTTTTACCTACAGTGTTAACAAAGACTTAGAGCAGGAATGTCCAAAGTCGGTCCCTAAGGGCTGCTGTCCGGCAGGTTTTAGAGGTTTCCCTGCTTCAGCACAGCTGATTTTCTCTAAATAATAACCTGCAGGACAGCGGCCCTCGATGGCCAACTTTGACCACTAGATCTGTAACTTCTAGGTTAAAAAACCCCTGAAAGCAGCGGACAATACTGCACTGATGCCAAATGAACCAGCCTCCCTAAACCAGATACTAAAATGTTTAATTTGCTGAAAGACTAACTTTCCCACACCAATAATAAAGAAAAAAAAACCTTTAATATATATATTTATTTTTTATTTTTAATGATTTATTTACAATTCACATAAAATTTGCAATGCATTTTTTCTATTAATTCCAAACCTTTATTAATCTAGAAATGTTTATTTACTGAGGCTATTGCCTTTTAGATTAATTGACAAAAAGACTGGATTAACAAATTACTTGAAGTATCGTATAGCTTAGTTAGCTCTGAGCTAAAGCTGCAGGGCGGACGCAGTCTCTGCAGCAGACAGTGCTCGGCTCGTACCTCTGGCACCGGGTAATAGTTGATATTGATGATCTTGTTCAGGTTCCTGACGATCACTTTGGTCACAGATGCAAGCTTTTTGAAATCAAAGCTCCTCTCTGGGGTGACGTACATGTTGAGGGCGATGGACGCCAGGTTACAAACTGCAACCTAAGTTATAAAAACAGCACGGTCAATGCGTAGAAAGAGCGTCGTCACAATCCAAGCCTGTAGGAGTCACTGTATTCACCTCGTCTTTACTTGTATATTCTACTATTTCTGTGCACAGATTGCTGGATTTGATGGTGCCCAGATTTTGCTGGTTGGTCTTCCTGTTGCAGGCGTCCTTGTAGAGCATGTAGGGAGTACCCGTCTCTGTCTGCGACTCAATGATGGCGTACCACAGTTGCTGGGCCTTCACCACACGCTTCACCCTACCCTCCTTCTCATAACTAAAGGCAGACATGATAAGGAGGATAGGGTAGCACTAGAAAACACAGCTCTTAGGTAAAACAAAACAGCAGCTCACTGTACCAAACCTACCGAGTGTAGAGCTCCTCGAACTCCTCTCCCCAGCACTCATCCAGCCCGGGACAGTCACTGGGACACATCAGAGACCAGTCCTAGGAGGGCAGCAGAACAGACACCAGGTTAGTATCACTTTTATAAAATAAGAAATTTAAAACAGGACTTTTTTTCTAAAGGTTAACCTGGTTGCTTTCCACTCGTTTCATAAAGAGGTCTGGAATCCACAAGGCGAAGAACAAGTCTCTGGCCCTCTGCTCTTCTTTACCAGTGTTCTTCTTCAGCTCCAAAAACTCAAACACGTCAGCGTGCCAGGGCTCCAGGTACACCGCAAAGGCCCCTGGTCTCTACGGAAAAACCCAACAGTCCATTCAGTTAAAGGTTCAAGAAACATTCCAGCTACCTTTCATCCGTCGTTGCTGCACAACCTTTTATCAGGAATATCTTTACAGGGTCTGATAACCGTTTATGAAAACATATGGTGTCTGAATCTTTAAATGTTAATCAAATTCAAAATTCATATGTTGTCCTTGTTGCCAACTCATTTATATATGTTAGATCAGATGTTTTGTCTGTGAGAATAGAAGCTATAAATAAAGTTACAACTTTGTAGCTGTAAAAGTACAAATCACAAATTCACAAATAAGAATACTGACGAAGCTGTTACAGGGTTTATACAGGAATGAGTAACTCCAACTTAATGCTTTTTAATGCTGTTTTAATGCTCTTAGAAATAATGTTAATGTCATCAACAAGTACCCATCGACAGGCTGCAGTCGAATTCCTCGTCTTCCAGCCACTTTTGTTGAAATTTGCATTTTCCCCATTCTTTAGCCTTTTCTCCGCCTTGAGCTTCTTTTCTGAACAATCGGAAGCAGTTCCACGCAAATATATCGTGATATTCCTGATGTAATTGCTTTTATAAACATTTTTTTTTATTTTTAAATGAAGCATTTTAATTAATTGTAATGCCAATTAAGGCCTTAATTCCAAAAATAATAATTTAATAACTTTTAATGATTTTTAATGACCTGTGGAAACTCTGTTATACTCCTTCCCAGGGAGACCATTAAACAAGAGCAGGAAGATGATGGAAACAGAAATATCACTCAAAATGTAAATTTGTTACATGTACTCATAAGTTGGTCATTCTTATGTATAAACTTGTGATTTGTACTTGTTTGTTAAGTTTGTTATTTGTATTCAAATTTTTTTTTGTCCTTCCATACGTATTCTCACGAGTGAAGATCTGATCTCTTATGAATGTATGAGCTGATTACAGGGAACAAGACAAATCTTTTATTTACATTTATGGACTTACATTTATAAATTCAGACATGCAAAATTTTTTAGAGACAGTTATCCCTTACCACATACAATCTATGTCCTGCTCACCTTGTTGCCGCCCTGGTCCACGTAGCGTGCAGTGTTGTTGTATACACGCAGCATTGGAACAAGCCCATTAGAAGTGCCATTAGTCTGAAGTTATGAATATAAAATATTGTTAAAAAATGAATAAACAAGAGCAGGCTTGATTTTTAGTCCGAGCTGTGTTTCTGTGGCTCACCCCAGCGATATAGCTGCCCGTTGCTCTGATGCAGCTGACAGCCAGGCCAATGCCTCCTGCTGATTTGGAAACCAGCGCGCACTGCTTCAGTGTGTCGTAGATGCCGTCAATGCTGTCGTCTCTCATAGCGAGCAGGAAACAACTGCAAAAAGAGCCCCATGTGTTAAAAGACTAAAAATATCAGAACCAAGCGCAAAGCTTCCAGTGAGAAATTTACAAACATTACAGAAATGGATTTAAGACATTCCAGAATAAGAACTAAGCACGGAACCTCTAAATAATATCAGATTTTTTTAATCTACATAAATAGATATGTACATATCTGCTGATACATTAAAGATTTGCAAAATACATTGGCCTACTGATGTAACTTAACAAGCCACAAATCCTCCTGATTGATATCGGAGCTTTCTTCCTGGCTTAACTGCGTAGTTAGCTGGAATAGATTATGGATTTCATACGTTGGCCTCCAGCTTTTATTAGAGCCAAGGTTGGAGCCATTCCAGGAACCTAATGACAGCAAGGGTTATCCCTTCCAACAGCATCTTTGATGAGTTTAGGAGCCGTTTTCCTGTTAGGACACCGGCTATATATACAGTTTAACCATCTAATCCATACTGTTATATTTCCTCTGTTAATACCACATCTTATTCATCTACAAAGTTTCCTTCTTCCACCTTGGTTACATCTCCAAATCACTTCCTCCTGGCTGCAGAGAAGCTTCCGTGTCTTTAGACTTTTCTAGGCTGAACTACTGTAACACAATCTTAATCAGGGTTCCTGCAGGAGCCTTTAAAAGCTGTTATGTTCAAAACGGAGCAGCCAGGGTCCTGATCAGAGCTGTAGGTAGCTCAAGCACTCGACCCCTTTCTCTCCACTGGCGTAAGACTTAGACAAACTTTATTGTCATCTTGGATACACAAAGTGTATACAAAACAAACTTTCGATGCATACAGCTTTCAACAGAGAATGAGCAGCTTACAGCAGTGAAATGAACACTGTCAATTATAAAGTGCAGCAGTGATCAGAATTTTTCTAGTGTCATAGAAAAGAAAAATCTGTTTAAAGTCATGGTGTAAAAGGCATAATATGGAAAGGTTCAGTGCAGTGAAAAATAAATACATTTCGTGCAAAATGCAGTACAGGTGCTGGTCATAAAATTAGAATATCATGAAAAAGTAGATTGATTTCAGTAATTCCATTTAAAAAGTGAAACTTGTATATTATAT